TTTAAATTAATATAAAAATTAAATCATTATATAGAAACTGAAGTATACTGCTTTTGATAGCCATTCCTTAGTTTGCTAGATTTAACTTTAAATCATTTTCTAAAGAAAATTTCAGTTAATTTGCGTACTATGTTATCATAAGCTCTTTAGCTTAGTATATCACGAAGAATACTATAAAATACTTTTGGGGTTCTTTAAAAATGGTTAAATAATATTGAGACTGAATAACAACTACTTGCTAAGTTAAAAAAAAAAAGGCTATCAAATAGTATTTGACCTGTAGGTCTTGAAAATTAAACCTTTTGTGTTCTTTTTCAACATGATTGGTAAGCTCTACTATACAAAATTTAATTTAAGGTACATCAAAGTGAGCAAATAAGACAGGTCATTGTTTAAAATGTTTAGTAGGGCTAATGTTTAAGTTTGTATCCTGCTGAAAGCCTTAAGTGCAATCATTCTATAAAAACGAAACAAAAAAATCTTCAGGTCATATACCTTACAATAAAATCTGTATTGGCCTAGGTACTGTCATTTAAAAACCTGAAATTTGCAGTAATTGTTAGATAGTTAATAAAATACTGGAAAAAGTAAGAAAAATACATTCTCTTTGTTTGGCCGACTCATCCCCTTGAACTTCATTTTAGAAATCAATCATGGAACAGCTTGGTCTAAATGTAGCTTCTGTGGGACTGTAATTACCTTGCTGGCTACATTACCTTCTTCATTCCTCTCGAGCTGAAAAGATAAGCGGACTTTATTATTGTTCATTGCTTGTGTTCCTTCACCACAGACGTTTATGTCTATCCACTTAACCTGAATTTCATCCCTTTGAATGCTTAGAAGTATGCCTTCAGGAACTCCAGTGATCCTTCACTGCTGAGGCAATATGATATAGCCGCAACTTCAAAAAGTTTTGACTTTAAATTAATTGAATCCATGTACATATCTGTCTGTTCATTCCTTTGGTCTTTCACCTTTCTTTGATGGTCCTGTTTTAACAGTTGTCAGTCCAGGTCACTGCTGACAGCCTCTTTCTATCCTTGGCCCTCTCTTCAGATTTCTCACTTCTCTGGTTGGGTTTTGATACCCACTCATTTCCACTCACTGACTCCTCTGTACATCTGTGTATTAGACTTAAAGTACTTCATAGTCATCGTGAGGCCATTACTATGGACAGGAGCAGTCAAGACTGCAGGGTTAGCTCGCAGGCCGGACACCTGTGAGAAGAGATGCCTTGCCTCTGCCCTCTCTTCCCACTCTTCTGAGGGGTTCAGTGGCCATATGTAAAGGCCTACATGAGACTTGATTTTTTTCTCGTGCACTCTGGTGCTCTGTGTGTGGGAAGTGCTTATTTTTATTTTATTTAGGGCAGTCTTATTGGGGTGTCAATTCACAGATCATACAATCTTAGCCATTTGTAGTTAATTTTTTTCTATATTGTTGGAGCAGGGGGGTCCAGCTTCATTCTTTTGCGTGTGGTTATCCAGTGGTTCAAGAATCATTGGCTGAAAAGACTATTGCCCTGGCTGGTGTAGCTCAGTGGGTTGAGTGCTGGCCTGCAAACCAAAGGGTTGCCAGTTCCGATTCCCAGTCAGGGCGCATGCCTGGGTTGCAGGCCAGGTGTCCAGTTGGGGGGGGATGTGACAAACACACTTGATGTTTCCTACCTCTCTTTCTCCTTCCCTTCCCCTCTCTCAAACAATAAATAAATCATCTTAAAAAAAGACTATTAATTACCCATCTTATTGTCTTGGAACCCTTATTGTCCAGTTGACCCTGGATGTGTGGCTTTATTTCTAGACTCTTTCAATTTTCTTTCATTGTTTTATAGGACTACCACTGAGCTAGTGTCTGTTTCACTGTTGATTACCACTGCATTGTATTAAGTTCTGAAGTCCAGATGTGTGAGTCTAACTACTCTGTTCATCTTTTTCAAGATTATTCTGACTGGTTTAGCTGCATTGCTATTCCATGTGAATTTTAGAATCAGCTTGTCTATTATGAAGTCACCTGGGCTTCCGATAGGATTTCATTGCATCCTCCCATCCATGAACATGAAATAGTTTCCTTTGATTAAACCTTCTTTAATTTCTTTCAGCAATGTTTGTACTTTACAAATTGCAAATTTTTTACTCCTTTTTAAAGAATTTACTCCTAAGTATTTTATTCTTTTTGAAGCTGTTATAAATGGAATTGTTTTTAAATTGCATTTTCAGGTTGCTCATTGCAAGTATATAGAAATACTATTGATTTTTGTATATTGATTTTGTATCCCACAAACTTTTTGAACTTGTTTATTCTAGTTTTGTGTGTGTGTGTATGTGTGTGTTTTAGTGGATTTGTCAGGATTTTCAGTGGTTAATTTCTTAGGAGATGAGGAATGATCACATCTAAGTATAAGAGCCTTTGTATCCCTCTGATTCCTCTCAGTTTGGGCAACAGTCATCTGGAATTACCGCACCAATTACTTTGGGGTTCTTTCCCTCACTCCCACACTAGTCCCCTTGCTCTCCTTCATCTGCCATTCACGGTGTCACTGCGAACTGCGAGCCCTTAAGGCTGGAAACCCGGTGATGAATGGGCTAGCAAATTGGGAACATGTGTTCCTTTGCTGAGTTGTGATGTGTTTTTCTAAATGATCGCTTATCTGTAAATGCAGTATCAGTTTTCACATTTGGTCATGTTATTGGAGTGACAAAATGTAACTTGATTCTAAAACCCTTGGGAATAGTAAAGTTACTATATGACTATTTCCTAATGATAAAAGTGACTTTCTTAATATTAAACCCTGATCTATCTAGTAGTTTACAGTGGTTATTATTTTATTAAGGGGCAGGATTAGTTTAAGGTAAGCTGGGACACAGTAGTCTTTTCCTCACCACTGTTCCCACCCCAGCAGATTGAACAAAGAAAGTGACATGCAGGAAATGCAATTCTTAAAGATTCAGGCTGTCCTACTAAGTTCCCTTCATTTAGCATCATGGAATTCGTTGTGGATAAAATGAACTAGTATATATTTATTCAAACCTAAAAATCATTTAGTTTTGCTACCATCTAAAGGCAATTATTTCACGCATTCTGTCTTCATTAAACTTTCCCAAAACCTGTTTTCAAAGTAGATGTGGAACAAAAGGGAAAAGTGGGTGGTTTGTTGAATATAATTTTTTTGAACCTTCCAAAGAATCGTACATTCTCTAGTGGGTGCGCTGCATGTATTGTGTCTGCAACTACCTGTCAGCTAGTGTATCTGAATTCTGTAGAAGACGCTAATAAAGTTATTTATTTAGATGGATCTCATGGGGATTGGGTGTTCCATAGGAAGATTTATTACAGATAGTTTTAAAGTATCTTTTATATGTGTAATTGAATTTTTTGTCCTTACAATGACATAATAATAGCGTCTTCCCTGGTGCATCCGGTTCCTCGGACAGTTGAATTTTGGATTAATAAAACACGAAACAGTACTCCTTTTAACAACTTCATAACCTATAATTATTCAGCTATTTAGAACACCAATGTTCTCTTTATATTTTAAAAGTATTTTCTTATTTAGTTCCTGTAAACCTCTGAACCTGCATATCCAAGCCCCTATTAATTAAAGGTATTTTCCAGTCCCATTTTATAAGCTACAGTTCTTTTTAATTGGGCCACAATATGTGCAGATTATATGTTTTAAGTTACTGGTTAATTTGAGAAATATCATAGCATCACTTTAGTAAAGGATAATCTGTTGACTACCTCATTTTGATAATAATTTTCACTTGATGTAAAATTGACAATGTAAAGTAATTCTCACATTGACAACGTATTTTGACACATTTTCAGGCATGGTTCAACAAGAGATGCACAACTGTTAGAACATAAAAAAAAATCTGAATGCTTTCTGAAATGAACGTGCTATTGTAAGTTGACTTATTATAGGAAGAAAAGCATTAGATTGTTTTCATATAGAAACAGCACTTGCCTGCTGGAAACCATAACACACGGACTAGTCAATCTTTAGCTAAATCCCCTTGTTTCCCTAGATGTAAAAGATGTTTTACATTGTTTCTTCCTTAATTTAAAATAATAGCTTACGACAATTAAAAAAAAAGGAAATTACAATACATTTTTAAAAAATGAAAATACTAGCTTACAAATGTATCATGCTATTTGAATTAGAAAATCATTAGCCACTAATAAAAATATTTTTTAATTTTATTGCTTGAAGAGGTTGAGGAAGAGATTGAGTTGATAGACAAGTCTCAGAATAAAACCTCAGTGAATAAAATGAAAAAAAAATAGACAATTTTCCAGTTAGAATTTAGCAACAGCTGTGTACTAAAACTGTGTGGAGAACTGCTCTTACTGCATGAATAAGAATGTCATAAATAAGCACATAAGTAGGCCAGGATCGTAGAAACTATGGTTTTCTAAAGATGTTTTTTTACTTTTATTCTTATATGAAAGATCTGTATCTGTCTCGTTTTTGCCTAACTCTTAAATCTGCTTTGCCTTCTTGCTGCTTCAGAGGGAAATGTTTGTTCAATTCCCAAGTCAGTTCTGCCACCTTGTGGTATGTTCCTTAATTTCATCTGGCCAAACCCTAATTCCTTCTGTTGGGTACCTCTTACCTCTGATTTACTATTTCAGGCTTCTTCCTGTCCGCATGTTTTATCTCCCTGCTTCAGTTAGAAGCTCTTGTAGAACACATCTCTTTAGTCTTTATCCCCATTAAAGGTCTCTCCTCGATATTCAATACATTTGAATATTCGAGTAGTTAATGTAACAGCCGTCCATGACAAGACTCAAAAATTAAATCACTGTCTTCAAAAAAGGAAATAGAAATTAGCTTTTGTGTTTTCTGTTTCATATCCATAATTTTAGTGTCAGCTTTGCCAAACAGATTGAAAATTTATTAGCTGAGAGATTAGAATGCAGTGTCATTTCCCCATTTTATTATATTTGATCTTTTTAAAACACGTTTTCATGGTTTCTTTTTCATCTCTGTATTTTTGCAGCTTTTGTCGTTCCTTCAGGGTTTGTTTACTTTTTACCACGAGGGATATGAACTGGCCCAGGAATTCGCACCGTATAAGCAACAGCTGCAGTTCAACTTGCAGAATGTAAGACTCTACCTGTCCTCACTGCCTCTGCTTAGCGGACCAGATGGTCACAGCGCAACTGGGTTACAACCAGGCCAAAACTTTGGAGTCTTTCCAGAACTCGTCCACGTACAGTAAAACCTCACTAATTTAGAAAAGCCACATTATAAATTTATTGTAGGATGTGTTGACTTCTAGCTCCTAGTTGAAAGTACACCAGGAAAGAGCCAATCTTAATGTTTAAAAGTGTACATTAGAAAATATCACAGAAATAAATACCACTAAGGAATAGACACCAGGAAGTCTGGAAACTTTTGCCGTTACCCAGTGTTGCCGTTACCGAGGTGACCTTGGGTAACCTTTGCTTTCTGAGAGGACAGCACTTCTGTATTCACGAAACGAAGGTTGTACTTTAGCACTCCAAGCTTCCGTCTCTGCATGGCAGGCATATAGCACAGCTGATATTTATTGTTTTCTAATAATAAATTTGAACAAGGTTTGAAATATAAGTGTTTCAAAGCTTAAGTGAGACTTATTTGCAAACATCCTATCTATTTCTGTCAGGGTTTATTTTCTAAAGTTGTCTAATCAATTATTTTTATATCTGATTACATAGTTATATAAATTCTGATTTGCGTCTGTTGAATACCACATTAAAGAAAAAAACCCTTAACCAACCCATTTCTTTATTATCAAACCTGAGAAATGATGAAGTTCTAATTGTTCAGAGCTTTGTATAGATGACAAGTTATTTCTGAAACCCTGTCTAGTACTCTGTAGCCAAAGGAATTTGGAAAGCTCCAATTTAACTTCCGATACAAAGCCTGGCTTTCACTGTGTCTCTGATTTTTGTCATTGTGACGATGCCCCGTGAACAGCTGTGGCATTCTGGTGTCCCATGAGCAGTATGTAATTGGATTTATTCTACCTGTCTTTTGAATTTCAACTTTTTACTTAACCTAGATTGTCTTGCAGAATGTATTTTGCTTGAAATTCATTCCGTTGTTTTTCAATATGGAATGCATTTGGATTTCTTAATAAATATTAAAACATAAAAGTCAAAGTATGTTATGGCTTATCTTCCTATTAAACACAATTATCTTGAGATTCCTGAGATTTGACAAAAGGTAAGGAATAGGAAAAAAATCAGATTCTTACATTGAAAAGAGAAAAGTAGCAAAAGTGGCAATTAAGGACATTCGGAATTTTTATTATGGGCCCAACAAAATCTTAGAGTTGGGTGATGATGACTTTTGTTTATTGTTGAGATAATGTGGCTTGAATGCAAAAGATTCTATAGAGAAAAGCATTACACTTTTTATGTTTTACCCCAAGTATTTTTGCTGTAACCTGAGTAAACTATTTGTTGCAGTAGAAGTAGAACTTGGAAATCTATTCATTTTCCAAGTTAATTTATATACAGACTTCTTGATCATTGTGTTAGGATTTCTGGAAACCAAACTAAGTGACATTTCTTTAAAAGTGTTTGGAATATGGGCAGTGGACTTTTTCTTAAATGAGTGCTACTTGTATGAAAATATGTGAATTTGGTTTGTTTTTATCCCCCAAAAGAAATGTAAGTGCCTGGGGATCTGCTTTTTTACCTTAGGTATTAGTGATTATAAAATTCTCTTTAATAAATATTACATATTGCTAAATGCTATAATTGGCCACTAAATAATAATGTTAGTGTGAGTAACAGGAAAGAATCATACAATTTACACACACACACACAGACTGGGATTGAGATTGAGAGATTCAGAGAGACACATGCAGACGTTTCACTAAAGCCATTCAAAATCAGCTGTAGGACTCAACATTGGGGGTCATGGGTATATGGGTGAGTGGTGCTGGAATAATTAAGGTCATCTTGTGCGTAATTTGCAGTTTTGAAGCTTTAGGCTCTAAGTTCCTTAAAACAGGTAGGAAAGAATGAATAAAATTGTTATTTTATTTATTAAAGACCAGGAATAATTTTGAAAGCACTCGACAAGAGGTAGAGCGGCTGATGCAGAGGATGAAATCTGCCAACCAGGATTACAGACCACCCAGCCAGTGGACGATGGAAGGCTATCTTTATGTCCAGGAGAAACGTGAGTCACAAAGACATGACTTAACGTCTCTGACCGTTACGTCCTGTTTCCATGAGAGGTGACTCGGTTAGTACTTTTTCCTTCAAGTACAAAGACTGACGTCCCTTACAGCTATATCGTATTTAGTCTGTTCTGCCACCATCACCACCAAAGTGAGGGAGTTTTTTCCCATTTCATTATCAATATCTCTCAGTTGGTATACTGTTGAACCTGGAACGTTTTGTTTTGTTTTGTTTTGTTTGATGATATGGTAACATGAGTTCAGCTTTATCATTTAACTGTGATATCTAATCTCAACTTAAAGTTTGGTGGAAAATTAAAAGTCACAGCCTTTATTGGGACGAACCGTCTTGGCGACTTGGATAATAGTGCGCCCTGCAGCAGTGTTATTTCACTGACTTCTGTGTTTCGTCCGTGTCCGGCGGTAAACCTGGCATTGTGTGATGTCAGACTGGCGCCCTTTACTTCCTGACATTAGGAAATAAGCATCAGACCCAACAGAGCACCATTGCAACTGCCTCCTGCTCAGAAAGTTTTTCTCGCAGAAATAAAATGCCGTTCAAAATTGTTTCACCAGGGTCCTCTCCGCATAGTGCCTGTCACTAAGTGGAACCAGTCTGACTAAATTCGCTCTCTAGTTCGAGCCAGATATGCCCTAAAACACTATTTTTATACTCTTTATGGTGGAGGAACGATTTTTTAATTTCCAGTCTGTCATGGACACAAAAGCATGTGCTTGTATTTTGCAGTAATGTCAAATTGCTGTGAAAGATTTGAAATGCTTATCTACACTTGACCTTTCTCATTTATGGAGACCTACCAACCACACGAAATAGCACTGCTCTAAAGTTTCCCTGTCGGTCAGTAGACAATAGAGTAATGAAATTGTTTTGATTGGTAAGATATAGTTACAGGGTTTGGGATGCAGAAGCTGGAGACAGCAGGTCAGCTGTAAGAGTTTTCCACGCAGAATGAGGACATGACCGCTAAAGTGCAACCCATTTTATATTTGACATGCTCAGTCGATGCCCATTTGTTAGTTGGTTGCACGCAAGCAAATAATGATTTTATCCGACAGACTCAGCAGACACGGACGGACTGGATGGTGGAGGGCTGCGGGCTCGGGAGATCTGGGTTCCAGGGTTTTCCCATCATAACTGTCTGCCTTGACAAGTCTGTTTCCAGATGTTAAAACAATAGCCTTAGTGCGCCTCCTGTGGTGGCCTCTTAGCAGTACGTGCGTCTGAGGCCCTCGGTCCAACTCCCCTTCTCTTTTTAGCATCCTCTTTTTTTTTTTTTTTGATGTTGCCTTCTTGGTCCCTAGACACTTTCTATCTCAATTTTGTCTGTCTCCCCCTGCATTATTTGTACAGCTTTAGTGAGGTACGACTGTCACAATAAATTGCACATGTTTAAAATGTACAGTTTGAAGAATGTTGCTGTAAGTATGAACCTGTGATACCATCTCCACAATCAACATAAGGAACATATTCCTCACCTTCTGAAGTATTCTCGTGCCCCGGATGGAATCCCTCCCTCCCTTCCTTTTCCCACTTACCATCCTTCCCCCTTCTCCTTTCCTGGGGATTTAAAAAGAAAAAAAATAATGGATGTGTATGCCTTTGGAATTGTTTTTATACGAGGGACAACTATGCAAAGCCCCTTTCTACCCGGAATCTCTGAAAGCATTTATAATGCAAAAATTTGATCAGCCCACTAAGACATACTGATTGTGCTGTTGCTCTCCCTGAGAGTCAGTTCTCTGGGAAACAGGAAAGGAGATGAGGAGGATGGCTTCAGGGTGTTCATTCTGTAGTCGAAGACCTGAGTCAGACTCATTCAGTCAGCGACCAGTGATCCGTAGTGACTGTCAGAGCTGTAACTTGTGACAGATAGAGATGGCCATGATGGGGCGGTGGCGGGTCATTGCAGTTCGGACACGGAGCTGCACTTGATCTGGCAGTGTGGTTTCTGTTACCACCTCTGGGCACACAGTAAAGTGTGTGCTGATGGACTGAGTTTAACCGGGAAGAGCAGGGGTACCAAAAAGTCGGACAGAACTACGTTGGAATTTCTGCCTGCCATCTGTTAACTAGGGGATTCTGATCGAAACTTTCTGAGCTCAGTCTCCTCATAGATAAAAGAAGCAGATTTATACCTATCTTGTTTGTAATGAGGTTGCAAGAACTGGAGATTATGTATGTAAAATGTCTCTGTCATTGGTAGTGGTGTGTAATAATACTATTCTGATTACCATGAGCTTTTACTGCTCTGTGCAATTTCGGTTTATCTCATTTGATTCTTAAAACCACTCTTGAGAAGTATTATTCCCTAAAAAAGAACTCCAATCACATGCCTTATTGATAAAGTAGTACCATCTGCAGCTCTTATGCTCTATTTGCTTGTATGTAAAATTATATATATATATAATATGACTTAAAAACTTCTTAGATAAAATTTTGGCACTTAGTAGGTATTCCATGAATGTTTGTTTCCTTCCATTTTGTAAACATCATCTCAGCAGCCTCAGATGATGACTGGATAAGATCATTAAATTTGTTTTATTTTGCAGCTTTAGAGCTATAATAAATTTTTATTTTCCAAGTCTTTTTTTTTTTTTAAGGACTTCAGAATTGCCAGTCTGAGAACATCTGCCCTGGCCTAGCGCCAGGCAGACTTTAAAGAAAGCAGCATGTGTGTGCAGCAGTCTCGAAGATTAAATGCTCGAGATTCTGAACTTATGATGGAGGCAGGAAAAAAACAAGTGAGGTCTGAAATGTCATCAGAGTGTTGTGGCAACCTTACTTCAAAATTATGGGTAACACTGCTGCATAAATCGTTCAGTAGTGAAGTCACTGTAAGGATTTCCACACAGTCACTTCCCACTAATCAGCTCTAAGCCTTGAAAGTATTTTACACCGCATAGAACTGAATTATCAACAAGCATTGTTAAGCATTATAGTGTAAAATGTTCCCCAAACAGAATCGAAGTTAAATGCAATAATCCTTTGTGATTACAAAGTGTACAGCTGAACCCCATAATTTTAGAATCTGGACTGGTTTAAGTGTTCAAGCCATGACACCAAGAGCGCTGTTAGTACAGGAAATAAAATTTCAGATGGCTCACGAAACACTTTTCTCAAGAGGCGCACCTCTATAATTCCATTTCCCGCTTTTAAATATATGGTTATGAAACCAAGGCAACAATAATATTGTACATAATTGTTACTAGAGAGATCCAGATGTTAAGCAGAATGGGGCCCTTGGTAGAGAAATGACATCAAAAACAAGCTGTGTTTTCAGCCCGCTGAGCTACTGTGACATTTGGATCGAGGATAAATGGCTGCCCTGTGTGAAAACTGAAGCCCCCCCCCCACCACTTTGGTCGTGGGAAAACCGCACTCTCGATGCATCCCCGCCCTACAGTGAAGCAGCAGCCCCTCATTCCTTAAGGAGAATGGAAACCAATAGCAGGGTGTGCTGTGGGGGAGGGTTGCATGGTATTTATGGGGAGAAAAAGTTACACAGATAAAACTTTCTTGTGCTCTAAATAGTGAAACATTTTCATTTTAAGAAGTTAACTTGAATCACTTTTGCTCTGATGAGTGGTAAGAGGAACGGGCTGTTCCTCTTAATAACTCCAAGGTAACTCCAATAATAACTCCAAGGTCAATTAAGTCTTAGAGAAAGATGACTGATGTGTTCCTTTATTTATTTGTCAAGTATTTGTTGAGCGCCAGCTTTATATCTGGCCCCAGTCTAAGGATTAAGAATGTACCAGTCATCAGGACAGCTCACTTTCCTGCTGTTAGAGCCTTAGAGTCTAGTGGCAGAGACAAACAATAAATAGGTAAAATCAGTAAAATTAATTATAGTTTAGACAGTGATAACTGCTAAGAAGAAAATGAAACAGAAAAGTAAAGCAAGAAATGTCAAGGTAGGGTGTTGCTATGTAGCTCTCCTGTAGCTCTCTCTACAGGAAAGGTGATATTGGGAAGGTGACATTTAGGAAAAGGTCTGCAGGAAGTGACAGTGCAGATACCTGAAGGAAGAGTAGTGCAGGTCGGGGGGACAGCCAGTTCAAATGCCCTGGGGTTGAAATGCATTTACTGTTTTCAAGGACCAGCAAGGGGGCCGGTAGAGCTTGGAGCAGAGTGTAAGTGAGGTGAGATGCATAATGAGGGGCCTTATGAATATTTACTTTGGTGTTTATCAGGAGTGATATAGGCAACCACTGGAGAGCTTTGCACAAAGGAGTGAAATGACCTTGCTCAATTTTTAGTAAGGTATTTCTGGCAGTTTTAAGAATACAGGATAAGAAGGAGACCAGTGATAGTAACCCAGACTATTATTTCTCATTCTTCCTACTTCTGTGGGATATAAGTATACCCTCTTTTACAGCTAAGATCACTGAGGTTCAGATCTAAGGCAACCCTCAAGTCCACAGAGTGTCGGAGCTGTGGGTAAAGCCCAGCTGTTTGAGGCCGAGGCACTCTGCCCTGCACCACTCTCTGCCCATTCTTGCCTTGCTCACTCCCATTCAGACAAGTTTCAGACGTACATGGTCTGTGGAAATCCTCAGTTGTGTATCACAGCATCAAAACTGTGCAAACCTGGACACCCATCATTTCTTAACGGCCTGTGATGTTTGTCTCCTTACATCAGGACCACTTGGTTTTACCTGGACTAAGCATTACTGTACTTACGATAAAGGAAGTAAAACATTCACGATGAGCGTCTCAGAAATGAAATCCAGTGGGAAAATGGTGAGTGTCTTTCATTTTTATTTTTAACCCTCATTTTTATTTCAGAAATGGAAGTAAAACAAACGAACCAAAAAACACAGGTGCTTGCTTTTCTAATAAATATGCATGCAATTTTTAAAACTTAAAAAGTCAAAAAAGTCTCTCTCACTTTAGTGACCTTGATAACTTAAAAAGGGTGACCAGGATTTCCTTGTCTGCAGCCATGGAATGTTTAGCAGCAGCTGAGTTAATGGTAGGGACCCTTCGGTGGACTCCCAAGGTGGCATCTCATGGCCCTGGTGTAGCACATTGTTCCTCTGTCACTTGCTTGGCCCATGGCCCAGAAGGGACTCCTGTCAGAGGCTGGACCAGGCCCAAGGATTCTCTGTCTCTGGCCCCAGGTGGCCTTTCTGGGAGGCTGCCTTTGCCCCTGCAGGCCTTTGCCTCTTTTGCATTGTGTACTGTTTACTGAAATGCTGGCCAACAAAGTTTCTCCTAAGAAATCGGCCAATGCTCATTTACCCCAAACGTAAACTGGTCACCGAGTATCTTGTGTGGCTAGTGAGCGGGATGAAAGATGGTGTCCTTGGAAGATGATGTTGTCTGGCCTTCTTTTAACAGATTAGAAAATCACAGTAGTAAAAGTAAGCGACACGCCCGGCTAATTTGCGGCGTGGATCGTGGCAGGTAAATGTCGGTCCTTAGACACATGCTCATGCACAGCAGTTGAAACGCATGGTGCTGGGGCATTCGTTAGTCTAATAATTCAAATGGAGAGACATATAAAATAAAGGACGGCATAGCAGAGGAAAGGAAACCTTGGATTGCCACCATCCTGAGAAGTCATTAAATGCTATAACCACACCTAGTCTCTACTCTAAAGGTTTCATAAGAAAAGATATTGCCAGAAAGTTAGCTTACGTGACAGTCAGTGAGCTAATATCAAATAGGCCAAGCCAAAGTGCTGTTTACAAGTCCGCGATGCTTGCAACCACAAGCAATAGAATTAATCAGTCATTAGGCAAACATTCCTCCTAAAATTGGCATCTCAGGTATGGAAGAAAACTTCACCTATTGAGCCTGTGTCGAATCCTGCCCAGAGTCTCCGTGTCAGCGGCGGGGCAGGAGTCGGTTCCACGGGAGGGCGCTGGCCCCGTAGCAATGCTGCTCTAGAACTTTACTGACCTGGTGACCCCCCTGAGGTTTCCAGGCAGCTGTCGTTTGATGCTGAGAGGCTCTAGTGCAGAGGCACACGAACGCACGCGTCTAGGAAGTTCCAGTTCAGAACAGTCGTGTTGTGTCCCGACAGACATCCTGGATGTCTAATTGGGACATTACCGTAACTCTGTAATTTCATACCTTTCTAAGTCTGGAGACCTAAGGCATATATACACTAGAGCTCAAGTTAACATTGGCAGTCAGTGTGTTGAAGTGAACTGGACAGGCATGTCACAGGAGTTTTTGATAAAACACATAAATGCAATTAATTTATTAGTGAAGAGTTTGGTATATTATAACTGGGCAGAAGTCTTGTTTGTATGACCTGGATGCATGACCTGTACTCTAAGTTTACCTTTCCGTGCAGCACTTCCATGTGGAAGATTGAATATTTTTCAGTTCACCTTGTCATTGTGTCCATGTGTGTCCTTTCTGGTTTCAGAACGGCCTTGTTACCAGCTCTCCAGAAATGTTTAAGTTAAAATCTTGTATCCGACGGAAGACAGATTCAATTGACAAGCGATTCTGCTTTGACATAGAAGTCGTGGAAAGGTTTGAACTTTTCTTTTTACTTTATGTTTAGTTGTTTCTGTATTTGAATATAAATATGAAACAGCACACAAGTGCTTGTTTTTCAGTCTATTTTTAAAAAGTGCAGCCCTGACTGGTGTAGCTCAGTGGATTGAGCGCGGGCCTGCAAACCAGACAATCGCGGTTCAATTCCCAGTCAGGGCACATACTGGGATTGCAGGCCGGTTCCCTGCAGGCCAGTTCCCAGCAGGGGATGCATGAAAGGCAACCATACATTGATGTTTCTCTCCCTTTCTCCTTCCCTTCCCCTCTAAAGATAAATAAATAAAATCTTAAAAAAGTGCACGTTTATTTCATTCTTTTACATGTTCAACAGATAAATATTGCATGATGCTTTCAGAAAAATAAATCAGACACAGAATGCTAGCAAACAGTAACCACTCAGAGAAGAGTCTGGGAAATCAGTAGAAATGACTGCGTCAGGGGGAAGTGCCTGTTGTGGACTTGGGGTCCCCGTACAAGGAAAGGGCCTGGCACATTGCTCCTGGGTCAGCCTGCTCGCAGACTTCTGCGAAGCCCAGGGGTCCTGCTTCCAAGGAATAATAGGACACAGGTGGGAACGCCATCAGCTCCTTCAGCGAGTGAAGTTCAGGGTGTGCCCTGTGCGAAGCACTATCCTGGACATTCTTAGCCACAAGATACTGGAGGCACCTAAATGTTGTGCACCTGAGTTTATAACCTAGTGGGAATATTTAGCTCTTCTTTTCTCCTGTATCAGTACAGGCAGAATAGAAACAAAGTGAGAAGGGGTGTGCTTCTTGATTTTTGTTCTAGTCCATGGTCTGTTTTTCTCCCCCTGCTTCCTGCTACATTTTCTCTGTACTCTAGCTTTATGTGTGGGCTCTGTATACACTAAGACGTGATGTGTGTACTCTCACATACTAGATACACTGTAGCTTATGGATACGGTAGCTTGTAACTATCTAGTAGGGCAAGGCCCCCATTTTTACTCTTCTTTAAAATTGTTACCCATTTTAGCCCTGTGTTCTTACATGTTATGGATCCACCTACTGAGTTTCTCTTCCTCTTCAAACAAATCCTTTCAGATTTCTGACTGGAGTTACATTAAAGTTATTAAATAATTGATGGAGAATTGGACTCTCCTTGAAGATATATATATATATTTTTAGATTTACTCCTGGGTATTTTTTTCTTATTACAATTTTAGAATTCTTTTCACTAGTAGAAACTTTTTCTTTTCTAAATGGTTAAGACTAGTGTATAGAAAAGCTATTATTTACTTTTATATGTCAATCTATATCTAGCATAGTTGTTGAACTTCTAGTGATTTCTCTTTTTATTTCAGCCTTTTCTAGTTACATGGTCTTTGGGGACATTGTGAGACTCTGCCTCACAGGTCTCATTTGTAAGATAAGGGCAGTGAGTACCCACCTCAAAGGAGACAGCACAGGGCCTGGAACATGATAAACAGCCAGCAAGTATTGATCATTGTTATTTTATTATTGTGGCTGTCACTCTGACTCAGAGATAAAGTTATCTTAATTTTTATATATTGAATACTTCTTTTAATGATCTATTGCCCTGTTTATAGAAGAGCTATATCCCTTTATCACAGTTTTAAGTCAGTCCAGGTTTTTAAACATACAATATTTAAATGAGATTTCCTGCTTGATGTTCCTCTTCACAAAGCCCTCCGATTTCCTGTTTAAGTGTATTTTCTGACCAATCTGTCCTGTTAACAGGTTAATTCCAGTTTGGGGTTCATATCTTTATATCAGTTTCCTTTTTCCCTTTGCTCACTTCTGCTTTTGAAATGCACCCTTGAGTAACTATTTCAGAATAGGTACATGGGAGGTCATTGTTTTCAAATGTAGTGATTTTAATATTGTCAAGATCATGGCATAGATAAACACTTTGGTTTTAATATCTTATAATTAACTAGTTAAGGTATGAGGCTTTCCATATTGCTAAAAACTAATTGTAATTTTTAGTGACTACACTGTGCCACATTTGGGTTATACTCTGAATTATTTTTGTATTGTAGAATGTTTAGGTGGTTTTGAACTTAGATGAATGTAGCTGTCTCCTTTTTGGTCATTTCAAAGAAAATCATTTGAAGCTACCTCTTTCAGACAGTCCTGTACCCAGAACACTAAGTGGTTTTTATTACCTGTGATCATTTGTGTGTGTGTATTGGTGAATACAGTGATTTTTCTGAAAGATACTTGTAGGTCAATATTTTTTCTTTCCTTCTCTTTTCTATCTTTTTCTTTCCTCTGTTTTCTATTTCATTTTCCTTTTCCTGATTTTTCTTCAGATTTACTTTTATAGCTAAATAAAAAATTTAAAGATTATACATTTCTAATGTCATGACAGGAATAAATGGAACGTGTGAAATACTTGTTTTGTTAGGCACGGCATCATCACCCTGCAGGCCTTCTCAGAAGCTAATCGGAAACTCTGGCTCGAAGCCATGGATGGAAAAGAACCAGTAAGCATATAACACGTTTCACTTAGGTTTTATTGTTCTGATCATTACAAAGTACATCTGAAAAAAAATAAAAAACAAGCACATCTGAATTTTTAAATATATTAATATATGTGTAGCGAATTTGATCATTTAAAATAGCAGACGAGAGGAGAAGCTCACTGTATTGCTGATGTTGTCTCATTCACTGACGCATGATACCAGCCCTGTAGTTTGTTTCTCAGGAGGACTTTCAGGACTAATCGAAAACCCTAAAGTGACTTTTTAGTTACCTATTATCATTAATTTGGCTGTACTGATTGGATTATTCTATTCAGTTAATAATTATCGAGCATCCACTCTTTGCAAGGCCTGTGCTAGGCTTTGTGACCAGTGTGACAGACAAGTTGCAGGGCGGTCTCACTCGATGAAACTCCCTGTGGGCCCATATTTTGTCCTCATGCACATCCTCATTTTTCTGTTAAGTTATGTTGCTGTTGGCCTGATACCTCACAGTACAGTTATTAGGGGGGGCTTATGTAAAAAGGAGTAAATTATTCATCACCATCCTTTTTCTTCATGGAGAACATGCCCTTGGAGGGTTAGGGAGATGAGTACCCAGAGCAATGCGACCCCCATTCTGTCCTTTGAGAACTGACCTTCAGATGGCAAAGAACCTTGAATGGCCTTGTGCACAGTACCTCTCTGACACCAGAGCTGCACAAAATGTGGTCTCCAGGCTTTGAGACCATCCCTCACATGGGTACCAGGCCACGGTGAGATGAATGCAAACATTATGATTAACCATCTAGAAAATTTTGTGGCAATTTGAAGAAGCCATTTTCATATTCGTCGAACTTAACAGAAACCTTGGAATCTGCATCTGTTCTTTATTATGTTTATGATATTTTAGTCCTATTGTAATTTATAAATATAGCAGTCAATGACAGATTTGAAAATTAAAAAAAAAAAAAACACTTGACTTTGCACCACTAATCAAAAGGCCATTTAGAAGACAAGAGTGATAGATAGCTCAGCAAGTACTAGTTAGGACTGTACATGCTAGGAAGAAAACACTAAGCAGATAACTGCAGTAAAGAGCAATGAGGTAAAATACATCATGAGATATTTCCTGAAGAAGGTACATTATGCCTCGTGTGATGGAATAGATTGAGACTTGTAAACCAGGTGGAAAGAGGTGGAACTCTGCCCAGGGCAGGACAGCAAGGATGGAAGAGAATGGGAGGCGAGGCTGTTACAGGGTAGGGAGATGGCACTATGGGTGCAGCAGTAGTAGGACCTTGAAATCAGGGCACAAAGCAGTGTATCATTGTACCGGTCTGCACCAGGTTGTTAACTGCAAGTAACTGGTTGTTTCCCTTGTTTTTTAGATTTATACCCTGCCTGCCATTATGAGCAAGAAAGAAGAAAGTAAGTCATTTTAATAATTATTTATAGTTGTATCGGTTATTTTTATTGCAAAGCTATTATGTAATATTTAGTCATTAATATTAAGAGAAATATTAATTATATTTATTATTTAATAGAAAATGATATTAACACACTGGTATTGAGTGGTTCATGAAACTTGAAGTTTTCATTCAAAGCAGTGTCTCATGTTAAAACCACTAACTACTGATGCTATAGTGACCAAAATTAATTTTTTGGTTTTTTTTTTTTGTTTTTGATATTATAGGTATATACCTTGCTTTATCCCAGAGATTTGACACAATTGATACTTAGTTTGATTTTTTTAATGACAGTCGAAGGCTTCTTTACTTTATTTTCCCTGCTCCAATTTATAAGACTGAAGACTTGAATACTTTGTGTTGGTTTTAGGAGATTATGCCCAAGAATGTGAAATATAGGGACATCGTCATAACACATGGGATGTGTAGGAACATATTGTCACTGTATTACTACTGAATTTTTAGCATCAGAACATTCTTGATAAATGCACGTTATTTGTTTTCTATTACATTCTAAATCCTTACTGGTTATCTTTTACCTCTTGCCACCCTTTACCCTTGACTATTTTAGTATATATTTTATATGTACTTTATGTCGTTAGATTATTTGACATTTAAAACTAGTTTGTGTATTTGTTTTCAAGTTTGTGTGTATATCTTTTAAAGCAATTTTAAGCTTTATTTAACTCAATTGACTTCTCTCATGATGTCTAAATTTATTTTTAAAATAGACTTAATAACCTTGACTTTAAATTTTCTGTTAACATGCAAGGTAAGAGCCGAGTGAAGATAAAAACTGGGTGGGAAATCAGTCATTTGAAAGTCATAAATATTGAGCATTTGAAAAAAGTCATCATTTTAATGGGATGAAATGCTTCCTAGTGATTAACTTCTAAAATTATCCAAAGAAAATGCATGAAAATACCTTTAATATTAAAGATGAAAAAATACTCCCAGTGTTTATTCTTGCATTTCTTTATTGCTAATCAAGGAAAGTGATTAGTATAGAATCTTTGGTTACCCACTTGTATCTAATCACAGAAACATTAACAAGTGGACTACGAGTTTTGTAAGCACTGAATGTTTATTTTTAAAAATTGCCTAATCTGTTAGATAATTTGCATTTGAGTGTAGAGTTTGAAATGTGTCTTCTAACATTGGTTTTATTACATATCCATTATAAAGATAGTCCTTTCAAATTCATGTGACCTACTGAAGAATGAGACCTTCTTGGAAAACAACTGAACCTACATTTGGTATCAAATCAGGCTTTTCAGTGGGGACATGGTCCCATCTAGCAGAATACATTTGGTACTCAATGCACCTCGGAAACTGTGTTTCTATCATAAGTAGGAAATTTGAAAGTTATCAGATGTCCTCGTTCCATGATGAAGGAAGAGTTACTTCTTCATGCCATAAAAACTTTGTCTTCTGGAAGTCAACTTTTCTATAGTCTCGACCACCTGAAACATCACTATGCCACCATGTGTAATTATAAAAATGAGTTTTTGTTTTGTTTTGTTTTGTTTTTTGTTTGTTTCAGAAAAACAGCTGTCCTGGAGTCCATGTGTTTGTGTCATTTCTTGCATTCTAGCTTTTTGTATGATGTGTTAGTTTCCAACCCAGTTCTCTGAGCTGTAACAGAACCCCTCTCTCCCTCTCGTTACCGTACTCAGCACATCACTGCTCTTATTCTTACTCTGGGTTCAAGTAGACTTTTATTGCCCAACAGGAGATTTTGATCATGGAAAGGAATATTGCAGTTCCCTTTGTTTTATTAATATGTAGGGCTTGAACTTACAAATTTTAACCTTAGTTAAAATTTCTTATTGTTTTATCTTAAGCTCTATTTTTTCTTTAAGCCTGTTTTTAATCACCATATAGATCTTATTTTATATAAATATACTAATTTTGAAAAATAAGTTGTTTTTAGTTTACTTTTCATACATTTAAAAGAATTCAAATTTAATCAATTAAACTTCTTTAGATCATACTATAATTTAAAAACTAGTAAATTTCATTCTCTAAATGCAAGACCCTAATAAAACAAATTTGTGGTTCTGGGTAATACAATCTTCCTAAATACTTGGCAACTTCTGTAATCTAGTAAATTGGCTGATAAATGCAGAGATTAATATTCTTTTAAACATTCTAAATATATTACACACATTATGTAGTAATTTCAAAATGTTTTACAAATGACATAAAGCCAACTTATTCAAAGTTGCGTTTGTTTTTAGTTGTTTTCACACATCCTTGGACATTCAAACAGAATCACCACGACTCAGTTAAAAGGCAGGACTGTGGCATGTTGAAGCCCAACCCAGTTGAAGACGCTCTGCATAGTGGAGGCACAGGATTGAATGCGCTGTCTAAAACCAGGTTTCCTGTAGCTGGGTTGGGCTTTTTGGTACTGCCTGCTTGCACGTGCAAGGCTTTCTAAGCATGTCTCCATGCAGCTCGCGTTGAAGGACCTTCCTCTAAAATGACCTGGCTCTCAGACTGGTCAAGGGGCTTTCCAGGTTCTCAGAATTTAATTTCTTTTTGCATGTAATTGTGAATAGTCTACTACATCAAGGCCTAAAGTTTATTAATGACACTGAATCTCTTTCTCGGAGTTTAATTTTATTCCTTTTCTCTTTTATCACATTTCTTATAGTGGTTACTATTTTTCTAGTGATTTAATAAGCACGCAGCAGGTGGTGTTTCAGATTCAAGAACGCAGTCCTGTTAAATCAAGAGCAGAATTATGTTTTCTTCCCAGTGACATATCCAGAATATTATTTGTTTCCATTCAAAATTATATTCTAGTGATGGTGAGGTTCTCAGACCTCTTTCTAAGTCTTGAATAAATCATGCAAGCTTATCGTGTTAAGAGTTCAGAGCAGCTTTTATCTTTATGTTTGCTGTTTCCAGACATCATTTCACACATACTTATCCTGTTTATTGAGATTGATCTCTATTTCCCTTTTGCACATTTGACCCCTCGGAAGCGGCATTATGCCAACTTCCCTGTGTAACTTACCTCGCAGCTGGTATTTGAAACCAGTACTGACCTTGATTCATCGGCCACCTTGAGAAGCGCTTTTAGATAGTGCTGGTCTTTCAGTTGGATTCTGTTCAACCTTACAATAATGATGTCTTTCCTTTGGAAACTCAGTTTTGCATGAAATGTGTGTTTTGAACTTCTGGAGATAAGGACGAAGCTTAGAATGGTAAAATAGAAAACTTAGGTAAAAATTTGTTTTGAACATTAACCATGAAAAGTTGCCTTAACATCTGTGCTGAAACCCCACAGGCAACCGAGTAAGAGCTATCTAGCATCCTACAATAGAGCCATGCTGTGAATAGACAGAACATATGCCATGAAGTGAAGAATAAAACTATGCTGTGATTCTAGAGGAATGAGACTTTCTTTACAAGCCTAACATGAAAAAACCTCTCTACTTTCTGGTTACTGTTAATGTACTGTTTTCAGAGAAAAGGCACCATATATAAAATTAGTGTAATTTAATAGAGAAGGAAAGTTTGACTCATTTTAATGAAAAAAAAATTCATGAAGAGAAAAAAACCCTAAAGATATTTGTTATTTATCAGATATAGAATCCACAAATACTTTTGGGGTTGTCAAATATGTCACCATATTTTTTCTTCTAATTATAAACCTTTGAGAATTAACTCATTTTAAGAACAGAAGTGCCTGTCATCAATATTAAGCAGATGTTATTAAATTAAGATTAGAACTAAACTGTTCCTGAACCATGCAGTTGGGGATATTTTGTTAAAGGATAACTTACCAATAGTTCTTCATTATTCTGTACTTGAGCCCATCTATTAAAGAAGCAAATAATCATCGCTGACACACCGTTTTGTCCCAAGACTTCCATGTGGGGACTACTTGTTAACAGGGGGAGAGACACTGGTCATTTTTTTGGCAGGCTTTCTCTCTCTAACACTCTTGGTTGGTGCCCTGAGACTTGGCCCCACTCAGACATAAGTTCTGTGTGATGGCTTTGTAGCTGATCCTGCTACCCCATGTCTGAAGAAAGTGAAAATTGTGAAAGAAAGGTTCTCATTCTCTCTACAATTCAGTTCAACCATTTTCCATTGTGTACCTGCATCATTCCAGGGAACGTGAATAGGAAAAAGGAATTCTTTTCAAATGAAGTTTCTGTTAATAAAAGTCATTATAAAAATGTAATGACAACCGCCTGACACTCAGTCCTCATGTACAAAACCGAAAGGATTGGACCAGAAGACACTTGCAGAGTTTCTCAACAGCTCTAAACGTCTGCCATTGTGTTTCAGTGACTTTTCCCGGTGTGTCTGGGGAGCGTATTCCCAATGATAAACGGAAAGATGAAGCTCACTCATTCTTCATATCGTAGGCAGTTGACATCTGTCACAAATGTTACTGAGTTTCATACTTCTGTTTAGATAGTTTAGTTGAAAGTTCTGAGACATTCCTTGGTGATAGCTTCCTCCTTCAGCACATCCTCCTCCAGGCTGCTGATCACATACAGTTTTGTTTCCATCACTGAGACCCAGGAAGAGGGTCAGATCTCAGGTGCCCTTCGTGAGCGGAGCAGGGAGAATCACCTGCTCATCCTTTGGGAGAAGAGAAAGCATCCTATGGTTACTGCAAACACCAGTAAATGCACTCATTTCTCTCTTTTCTTTCTTTCAAGCAACATAGTGTGGTTGTCTGTGATAAGGGTCCTTTGAATCTGAAATGGCAGATAGAAAATTGAATTAGAAATTAAAGACAAGTGTTGCTTTGTTTTGTCAACCCTGAGAATGTACTGTATGGCCAAGTAGATTACATCATTAAGGACACGCTGGGTTTTTAATTGCTGGGAAATTGAAGATACAAGGACTTTTGCTTTGTTGGTTGAATGGAAGACTATTCTTTTTCTTTCCCTCATGGCTGTTTGAATTCTGTTGAGATTAATAGCTTTTGTGCTGCCAGGCTGCCTATGGAAACTTTATTTGGTTTCCATAAAAGCCTTAGCCCTGAATAGTTTCCAGAGGAAAAAAATAAAAGCAGTGTTTACACTTAACTTTGATTAACTAAGTAAAGTTTCTTTAGTTGGCCTGCTTTCTGCTCCTACCCCCGAAGGTCCAGTATCATTAATATTGTAGGAATTTGGTGGTAGGTGTATTCTGTGTATCCCTTTGGGGCTCTCTGTAACAGGGAGACACAGGGCTGGGGAAGGGGCCCTGGTGAGGTATTGATGAGCTCTAACCTTTATGGAAGCCATCAGAGAGGGTACTTGAGCAAGCCACGCCAATGACCGCCAAGCCAACTAAGCATTTCCTGGCTGCCTGGTTCCACAATCTGTACTTCTCTGTCCTCTGCTGTTGTAGCAGGAGTACCTTGTCCTCCACTAAAGGAGAATTATGATAAATTATAAGCCTCCAATGGTGTGAGGTGTGATTTTGATTTATTAAGAACACCTTCCATTGACATTTCATTTGAACACTAAGGAGTTCCTAGTTTGTTTTTTTTTCTAAGCTCTAGAGAACCTGTTTTTGTTGGATTCTCATTAGCACTGACATTAAGTCTAATAACCCCTTCACAGCTTTGCAGGGTTGCTCGTTTTCCTTTACAGAATTTGTGTTTGCCCCTGACTTCCCTCAGAAACACCACTCAATGTCACCGCCTTTATGTCAGTCACTGGGAGATGGAGTGCTCTGTAGCCTGTTTAAGCCACTTTTCTTTCTTCTCCTTAGACCTCAGCAGAAACTTCTGGGTGCTTGAGTGATGACAGTCATGAATGGGCACTGCCACACTGCCCTTATGCTGCCTTTTTATATGAATTGATGAGTCAGTAGCCAAAAAACATGACTGCATCCCAGTTAAGCAAGGAAAAGTGACTTTGTGTGCTATTGACTTTATTTAATTTAGGCCTCTTTGTCACAGCAAACTCACATCATCTTACATCAGAATGGGTTAGGCTGTGCTGTTGTAATGGATGATCCTCAAACCTCAGAGGCTTCCCGCAGTCAGGAAGTGTCTCCTGGCCATGACACCTGTCCATTCAGGTCAGCTGTGGCTCAAGATCTTAGCCGTAGCATTCACTCTGGACCCCAAGCTCATGGAATAGCCTCTCTCTGCATCATTCTTGATCTTGTGCCAGAGAGACAAAGAACTGGGCCAGCTGCATACTGGTTCTCAGTGTCTGCTGGATAATGACGTTTGTCACTTGCATCCGTATTTCATTGGCTAGTGCATATCATATGGCCAAGCTCTTTGAGAGAGCTGAAAAGCATAATTTGTAAAGCGGGGCAACGCATTTGGGTGAACAGTAACTCCAGACTACTTCAGTCTGTTCAGTCCCAGTGAGAGGATTTGTTTGTTCATTGTATTTTGTTGAAGTATAATGAGAATATAGGGACACCTAGTAGTATACAACTTATTTTTTCCAGTGTCCATCTAGTTTCACAGGTGGCCCGAATGGATTATGTCTGATCTGTGTTTGTTCAAAGAAACAGATCATTGCTCTAGCCCCAAATATTTTAAAAATAATATATATGCCTCTTTGAAAAATCATAGTCCAGGCAGACAATTCCTTAAGCCCCAGTGACTGTAGCCATACCCGGAAAATACCTTCATGTAAATCACATATGTACAATAGTTGTATTCTCCTGTAGCCGGTACTGATGGTGATGACGACAGCCAATATTTCTGTAGCACTTACTATATTCCAAGCACTGTTCTAGGAGATTTGCAAGTGTTGATGCATCTCATCTGTAAACAGTCCTCTGAAAAAGGCACTGCTGTTATTCTTACTGTATTGAAGAAGAAACTGAGACACAGATTAAAACTATGCCTAGTAACGCAACTAATAAGTGAGAGAGGAGCTACTGTGCCTTTCATCTGGGTAGAACTAGTGACTGACATCGTTCATCGTTTCTTCTGTTTTATACAGCAGTGCTGGGTGGACAGGTGCACGTGGAGAAGGAAACTAGCATTTAATTAGGTTGGTTCCTTTGGTAGGGATTCTTAAGTGCTTCAAGTGATTTTATATTCCTACAAATATTTAACATGTATTACTATTTCCTCATTTTCTAAATGGAAGACTTGAGTTCATAGAAGTTAGTAGGCACCTGCCCATTCATACGGTAAACTCGAGCTGAGATCCAACCCAGGTTTGTCTGCTCCAAACAAAGCTGAGCGCTCTCTCTACACCATGGCATCTCCCTACACTCTCAGGGAATGACAAAGATTGTTCAAAGGAAACCAAAAAAAAGGCATAATTATTTTTGCCAACATGATATTTTTCCACATCTTTAAATTGATTGATAGTGTTTCATTTACTCAAGTGAATAGAGCTAAAGTACAAGATCCAAGGGACTTACCAGGACAGCAGCACCCATGGAATGACCTGGCAGTTGGAGTGGACGTCTTCAAGGTTGTATTCCTCATGAAGAACCAGTGTCGTATTGGTGTGTTAGAACAGCCTGGGATGCCCTGGCTTGTGTGGCTCAGTGGTCTGAGCGCCAGCCTGGAACCAAAGGGTCACTGGTTCGATTCCCAGTCAGCACACATGCCTGGGATTTGGGTCAGGCCAGATCCCCGGTAAGGGGCATGCAAGAGGCAACTGGGTACTGACATTTCTCTTCCTTTCTTCCTCCCTCCTGTCCCCTCTTTCTAAAAAGAAATCAAGTCTTTAAGAAAAAAAAAAAAAAGAACAGACTGGGGTATTGCTGTCAAATATCCTGTATACCTTCAGTATATAGCCTCACTATCACTTTTGTCAAAGCAGATACTTAAATTCCATTTTTATATATCACAATTATCTTTACTCATTTTGCCATGGTCAGGCTTCATTGAAATTTTTCAAAAATGAATTTGTCTTTTAAACTTTTTTATTGAAAAGTTGAACGATGTGATCTGAAGAACCAAACACTATAAATGTCAGGAAACAGCACTTTTAATTGATATAAAAATGCTAGTGTATTGTTTTTACTGTTTTTACATTTTGGGGCTCAGTTTTTGTTTTTAAAAGCTAAAATTAATCACTGATTCCTCATTTCTTTGTTCATTTTATATTGGTTCCTCACCTCTCCACTTACTTGTTTTTCTGTGTCCAATAACTACTTTAAAATTTTCCAAATGTGAAGTGTATAGAATGCTTAGCATGTTGGGTTATTGGAAGCAAATAATTACTTCTTGAAGTCCCAAAGGAGCTCTGCTCTCATGTAGGCAGTCAGCTCGGATAAGATGCTGGTCCCATGGCCGTTCCTTCTTGTATGGGGAGTGCGTGCAGACCATTCGCTGAGTTCTGGTCACTTGACCTAGGCCCTGGGGACACATAAGCCTCCTGGCACATTTTCAGTTGGTAAAAACTAGAAAAAAATTTTAGAAATATTTTTTAAGTATTAAATAGTTCAGATGGTTGCAGCATCATCCCATAACCAAGAGGTCGCCAGTTCAGTTCCCGTTTAGGTCACATACCTAGGTTGCTGGTTCAATCCCCGTTCACCCATCAATGCCTCCCTCTTGCAACCAGTTGATGCTTCTCTCTCTCAGCCGATCGATGCTTCTCTCTTGCATCCGTGTGTCCCTGTCTCCCTCCCCGTCTCTCAAAAAGCAATGAATAAATGTCCTCCAGTAAGGGTTTAAAAAAAAAGTACTAAATAGTTCTAAAGCCCAATGAATAAAAATGATCATTTCTACCTTTGTTCTCTTCTTTTTTACTTGCAGTTTGCATGTAGAAAAGTTAGATTTTTTCCCTAGGAAAAAATACCCTCAAATTACTACATTGTAAGAAATTGGGTCATATCCATTTACAGGATATGTAAAAATAATTTACATATTTTTTCACCCGGCAGCACATGATAATCATCCTCTCGTGTCAGTACCTCTAGTTCTGGGGGCCACAGATTTCTCAGATCTTTCAGTTAATGTGGTTCATAGTGGTTTTCTATGTGTAGGATTTCTTTAAGGTTTTCATCTGTTGCTGGCACCCCTTCATTATTTTTTAGCGTAATTTTTGATGTATATATTTTGTCTTGGATCCGTGTTGAGCTACATGAATGTGTTTATCATCTTTAAATGGAAGCCAGTTTTAATTTTTTATTAGTTTGAATTTTCTTAAAATATTATTGTTTGAGGATATTAAGATATCACATCTCTACCACATGTGATGAAAAATTTCATTATAGCGCAAAAAAATTTTTGAGTTTTTCTTCTGAGTGACACTTGTTATTCTTAAAACCTTCCTCCTAAAACAAGTAATCTATTTTGGTCAGGTCCCAAAACTTTAAATAAAATAAGAACTGATTTAAAGAAAATCTGGCATAAAGCAATGAAAATAAATCACTATTTCATAATGTAATAATAATCTTCGTGGGATTCTTAGTGACTGATTAAGGTTACTTTGAATATGATACAAAGTGCAAGAGAGAGAAAGTTGGGCTTGGAATCAAGAGGCTCAGCTCTGGGCTTAGAACAATGGAAATGAATTTTCAGCATCCCAGTGAGTCCTCTTAAGGGCGTAAAGCTCTCTACTAACAATGTTTTGAGAATCACGTGGGAAAGAATTTGTGAGTAGCTTTTTGATGCAGTTATTAACATCAATAAAAGCTTATTCTTATTGTATTTGCTTTTATTATCTGTAAAAACATGTAGTGAAGGGTATTGCTGATTCTAGGAAAAATGGATAGAACCCATTTTTCATGTAACAGACTTACTTTTGGAAAGGGTTTGTGTTTCTAATGAAGCAAGTTTATGTGATAACATTGGTGAATGTGGACCACCGTCCTCCACTTCTACCACACGTAACAATTCAGACTCTGTCCAGAACCACCGTTAAGTCATAAAACAACAGAGCCAAGTGAAGGTGGAATGTAAATTCAGCAGAAACACTTAATATGGTCTTCTTTCCTTTTCAGTGTACTTAAATGAAGCAGGGTTCAACTTTGTGAGAAAATGCATTCAAGCCGTGGAAACAAGAGGTCAGTAAAGCCTGACAGGTGTGGCATTGCTGTAGTGTGGTCCATTCTGCCATAAAAATGCTTGGAATGTGAGAGTGCATGTCTCCAGTAACATGACATGAATTTTAAGAATTATATGGATATGTCAATTATATAAATACATAAATAGCTATCCTTTGAACTTCAGTTTACCAGAAGTCATTCGATAAACATACTTCTTTTAGTGACATCTCCCAAAATGCCTTCAGCTTACTTCTTACTGATGGACTCTATTATTTATTATTATAAATGCCGCTTTAGTTTTGACTCAAGTTTTAAGGAGGTCAGTAGGATTCCGAGTAGCCCGTGTTCAGCCTCTCCTTAGCTGCATGATTCTCTTCAATGGTTTCAGTCCCTGCCACATTTTTTAGCACCTTTGTCACCCTAACTGTGACCTCTCTCCGGAAGCACACTCCAACTGTCTATCAGACAAGTGCACTTCCAGGAAAACGGGTCTACAGCCAAAGTCATACTGGCCTTTGGAATTCTTTAAACTTAGATTCAAATGTTGGTGCTGCCACTTAGAAATGTAGAGAAGGTAGGAAGGTTTCTTAATTTCTTTGAATCTGTTTCTTCACTTTTAAAATGAAGATATGAATGCCATAAAACTGTTCAATATGCAGAACCCCATGACTGAAGAAATAGATGAGCAATGCTGATCGCCCCTTTCCATCTTTAATGTTTTTTTATATTCAAATAGTGGTGACTAGGCAGGCGTACTTTGCTACTTATAAGATCTTCAAAGACTTTCAAAGCCCTGTTCAGTGTCTGCTCTGAGGAATGTATGTCTGGTGGGCATTTCCAGGGTAGGGTAGCTAAAGTTAGACTACAAAATTGGATAAGTAGTGTTCAGATTTCTTATAGGCATATGTCTGAGTTTTGAACATTCTGTACTTGGAAAGTTGTGTCTCAGGCTGTTTTCTTGTGACTTTTCCTTCCCATTAGGCATCACGATTTTAGGCCTGTACCGAATAGGAGGTGTGAACTCCAAAGTTCAGAAACTCATGAACACCACATTTTGTAAGTTCGGGATGAAGCAGTTACTTAGTTAATTTTTGTATTTTTAATATTTCATTTTTTATTGTGTTTTTTCCATTACCATTTATTCTAAACCATAGGGTGGGTTTCTTTGTTTGTTTGTTTGTTTGTTTGTTTTTTGAGATATAGACTAGTGTTTGTCCTGGAATATTTTCAATATATAAAATTAATATTTGTATTCAATTTTCAATGTTCAGTTATAATCGATGAGTAACAGTCAGAATTTGAGAGGGGGCCTTTCTGTAATGTTGGACTTCTTTTCAAGTGTCCCGTGTTTAGCTAGAAGCACAGTGAGATTTGTAGGTGCCAGATTCATATTGCCTGGCTTGGAATCCTAAATTAGCCACTTAAAAGCTTGTGATCTTGAGTAATTTGCTTAACCTTCCTGCGCCCCGGTCTCTTCATTTATAAAGTGGGGATAATGATAGTGTCTGCCTCATTAAGGATTGTAAGGACTGGACATTTTGAGCCATATAAAGTATGTAGAAGCATGCACAGCACATGACACATGCTCTGTGATATTAGCAATTGGCAATAATTTGATTTGGGAAACTCTTACAGCACAAGAAATCTTTGCGGTTCAGTGCCTTTTTCTCTGACCTACTCATTTTTTATATTGATTTTCTTAATGGTGCTAGAGCTATTTTGAAGTGAACCATTTAAACTTTTTAAAAATTCTTTTTAGCTCCCAAATCCCCTCCTGATATGGACATTGATATCGAACTCTGGGATAATAAGACAATAACAAGCGGACTGAAAAACTACCTCAGGTGAGGAGGGTTCACCCGCAGCAGGCTGTCTGTGGCCTCTCGCTCCCTGACTCGGGCAGTCGCCTGGCGGTTCCGTGTGCGTGTGAGCGCTGCTCCTTCGTGCGGTTCCTCCACTGAGACCGAAGGGGCCAAGGCGGTAATGTTTGTGTTTAGTGTTCTGGGACTTAGCCTTGATGTCTCAAGAAATAAACTTAAAAAGGCTGCTCTCCTTTATGAATGCAAAATAATTTCTGTTTCATATTAAATTTGAATTTGGGAATCCCAGGCATTTTTTTAAAAATACGTCGAAATTAAAAGCTATTTTTCTAAAACTGTTATTCCCATATCTGAGAAGAGTTTTGCTCACAAAATGAAAACATTGCCTCTGGCCTCCCTTTGTAGAACAGTTGCGGTGAGAAGTGCTAAGGGCCTGGGCGAGCTGCGGCACTGCCTGGAGCCCCTGCTGGGGCGTTACCATGCAGCCCCGTCACCCGGTTCTTAAGGAGCACTGCAAGGTCAGGGGAACCGAAAAGATCCTGCCTGCCGCTCTGAAGTGTGCCTCATTCTCTGTTTTAGGTGCCTTGCAGAACCACTGATGACTTACAAGTTACACAAAGATTTTATTGTTGCCGTTAGTAAGTACGCTTCCACTGATGTAGTTTTATGCTGTATTATTCTGAGGTATACGTTTAAATTGGCTAGCTAAGATTTCCCTGCATATTGCTTAAAATATTATCAATCGTACTGATAATATTGATAATATCAATATCAATCTGATTGATAATATCAATCTTAAACTATCAACTTAATAGTTTACAATATGGTTTGTTAACAAATAAGAAACAGCAGAATGAACGAAAATAGTTTGTCATTTAGTAAGACTTTCGTGGGATGACAGTCTGGTGTGATTAGAAAGAGCTGTGAGGGATTATTCTAATTGACACTTTACTTGATTGATGGGTGTCAGTTTTTACAAGAGCAACTTGATGGTTAAACAGATGACTACAAAGGCATATAGTCAGTTATGCGCCCGCCGTACACATAATCACATGCTGTGCTCCCAGGTCTGGAGAGAAGAATCCGATATTTTTGGCAGGCAACAGGCACCTCCATCAATCTCCTTTCTCCCATATTATCTTTATGGTTTTGATGATCACGTATCTGTGTCATTTCTTTAGGTCTTTGACTGTTAAAATGTGATGTGAATAGATTGGTTTAATTCAAAACTCAAGGGGACTAGGGGTCTGTGAGAAACATGCAACCTGAGGAGTTAGAAATACATACCTTTAAAATACTGGGACCAGAGTGCCAGGGCGCCATCTGAGCCCATCACCATGAAGTGTAACAAGTATTTTTCACAATCTGAGAAAGAACTCGGCTGCTTATTTTTTTACCACACGTTGCAATGCCACAGGAAACTGATCAAGTGTCAGGTAAAGACAACTGGCCTTGGTGTTTAATTCAGCACGTGTGACCGGCCGCGGGATCTTGTAAATAGTTTATGTGCTGCTATACTGCTGAGATTTCTCCTGGACGCTCTCCACTGTGCATCCTCTTCATAAAAGTCTGGTTTTGTGAGATGGACAAGACCTTAGGAAATACGTAATCCAACCTCTTATTTCATTGATCACCAAGTGCGGATCCAGACTGGGAAAAGGGCATTGTCTGAGGACACTAGTGAATTTGTGGCAACACCAGGTTACAAGCCAGTTTGTTAGATGCTTAGTCTAGAACTCTTTTATATAAAAAGATTAGTTCTACAGCAAATGGTGTTTGAGCCACTTAGCTAAAATGACTCAATGAGCTCGTGATTTTGATATAAACATTTGATTTCAAGATTTTTTTCCCTACACTTATGCTCTGGCAAATCATGATCCTATTATTTACTGCCATAACCATTAAAATACTTTCTTATCTGAAGAAAAGAGTTCAGCTTTTGTCTAGGTCAAGGATACTCCCATTTTCTAGATATTGAATTAATAAAATTAGGTATTCCTTGGTTTCAAGCCACAGAAATCCAGCTCAGTAAAAAGGGGAAGTTACTCAGAGAGGAAGAGGGGTCTCACAGAGTTCCTGGGCAGAGGCGGGTCTGCAACCAGGAGCTGTGAAGTTGGGAGCTGACATTTCCCTGTCCCGGCTCTATTTGGAGGGTCTCTCGTCTCTGCTGTTTGCTGCGTGTCTGCCTCATTCTCGTCTCGGTTTTCTTGGGTTGGAACACATATGTTCCCATGGCAGCCCTGGTTTTCCATGGTCGGCCTTTTCCCACATCCAACAGACAGATGAATTTTGGCAACCTCATTTCAGCTCCTGGGAGAAAGCTGGCGTCTGGCCCAGCCTTTCCTCTCTCCAGTTATGTGTGCCTAGAAGAAATGATGGTTGCATAATGTCAGCCCAATTGGTCAGGCATTTTCCAAAGAAGGGGCCTGGTAGGGTGGGCAGTCACCCCAGAATTTGTATATTGCAGTAAAGGAATGTTAAATGTATTCCTTATTCTGAAGCTTTAGAAGTTTCTCTAGCAGACACGTCCACTTCTTGACCTTTGCCTGACAGACTAGACTTGCTATAGATGATTTTTCACTTTTCAGATTTCCTATTGTTAGCACGGGCTTAAAATTGACTAGGCCTGTGCATAATAATTTTGATCCCTCAGAATAATAACTCCTGGTTGTTTCTGAATACATAAAATTTGGAAAGGAATGCCTGCTTCTTCTGGTCCGATGGAGTCACAGAAGCTTTTGCGTGATAAAGTGTTACACTGCCCGACACGTTAGTCTGTAACGATCTCAGTGATCGCTCACATCCTCCTTTTGTAGTAAAACCGAAACAGGTGTTGACGAGCTCCGGTTGTGTGGAAGTATATAGTTCCATGGCTAAGAGCACAGGGCTAGGTTGGATAGATGTGAATTCGTTAACTTCTTTACTCACTAACTTCATGGCTGTGGACAAGTTACTGAGCCAAGCCCCTCTCAGCCTTAGGGAATGATATGTGATAACACCAACAAAACAGCACTTTCAAGGCATGAGGGGTGGATGTGGTTATGATGATTATTCATGTTATGTGCACATCTGAATGTAATTAAAACTTAAGACTTGCGACCTTTTTTATGTTACAGAATCCGATGACCAAAACTACCGGGTGGAGGCTGTCCATGCATTGGTGCACAAACTGCCAGAGAAAAACAGGGAGATGCTGGACATCTTAATAAAGCACCTGGTCAAGTAATTCTCTGACTTATATCGTTCACTTGGCTACTGTTCAGCTATTAAAGTTAACCTCACTTATGTCCTTTCAAAGTGTTTGATGGTACTGGGATTCCACAGAATGTGCTTTGAAAAGAGTGGCAATTTATTTTAAAGATATATCTGTGTGCACTGGTGTATGTGCCTGTGTATATCTACATTATGCAAATAATTATATTCTTTGCAACTGTGAAACTAATGATGAAAAAGTTACGTGTCAACTTAAAAATAGATGTAGAAGTATGTAGCTTTTCTCCCTCAATATTTTTAAGTGCATTGTAAGCCCTAAGTTTGAAAACTGGTTCTCCGTATGACCAGGGTCAACAGGTTCTGCCAGGTCAAAACTTCCTCTCTAATGTTAGCTTCTGTTTTTGGATTCATAGCATCTTTTGGTCTCGGAAGACTTTTTTTTTTGACTACTGTTAAATTAAAATCCTACTGTTAAATAGGATGGTTTTTTAGGAGTAAAGTTTCTCCAGAGAAACAGAATGAAGAGTATGTTTGTGTGCATATATACACACTTATATATACACAAATATGTATATATGTGTGAATGTGTATTTTGAATGTACATGTATATGAGAGAGATTGATAGATTACAAGGAATTGGCTTATAGGGCAGGCTCACAGTCTGGAGACCCAGGGAAAAGTTGATGTTGCAGCTTGAATCCAAGGCGGCCTGGAGAAAGGATTCCCTCTTCCTCGGGCCAGTACTCTTTTTATCTTAAGACCTTGAACTGAGTGGATTAGCCCCACCCAAACTGTGGAGGAAAATCGGCTCTACTCAGAGCCTACTGATTTAAATGTTAATCTCATATTTAAAAAAAAAAAACCTTCACAGAAACACCTAGAATTGTGTTTGACCAAGTGTGTACTGTGGTATAGCAAATTTGACCATAAAATTAACCATCGCTTATGTATGTATCTAGAAGTTGAGACACGCACACACAGACACTCGAACTCTCAGTCCAGAAGTCTGTTTGCCACGCTGCTGGAAACAACAGTCCAAATTCAGATGTTAAACTTTCTTCAGAATTCCCTTACCATCTCATTAGAAAACACATTTTTCATCTTAATGAGTACCATGATTCCCAATCAAATGATTAATCCCTTCCTTGTTTACTAGAGTAATAAGCTAATTTGTCTTAATTTTAGCCATGCACCTTTGAAATACTGCTATATAACATATTAAGAACTCTCAAGTTGCAGGCTTTGAGATGATACGGATTTCCCTCACAGAAATTTACTCGAAATGGCGTCATTTCAAGTTCATTGGTAGCTATTGCCCATGGCCATACCTCTTCTAGCCAATGAACAAGGACTCATCCTTGGTCTGAATTAGTTTTGAATTATGTTTTGGCATTGCATATAAACTCTTTATGAAATTTAACCACAAAGGCATTCTTTTGCTGTATTTGAGCTAATTTTTTTATTTTTAAAATATTTATTTATTTTTAGAGAGAGGGGAAAGGAAGGAGAAAGAGAGGGAGAGAAACATGAATGTGTGGTTGCTTCTCATGTGTCCCCTACTGGGGACCCCTGCAACCCAGGCATGTGCCCTGACTGGGAATCAAACCAGTGACTCTTTGCTTCACAGGCCCATGCTCAATCCACTGAGCTACACCAGCCAGGGCCTGAGCTAATTTTCTAGTGAAGTTTTTTACAGTTCTTTTAACAGTGACATGAATGTCACATAAAACTTCCTTGTTTAATTGTAGAGTACTAGATGAACACAGGCTTCACCCTTAATTGTAATGTGTGTTGTTCCGGTACACAGAAGAGCAAGACACAGTGTCTGGCTGTGGAGGAATGCTTGAAATTCTCCTGCTCATTTTCACCACCGTTCCTGGCTCTTTTCTTTTCTCTTTTGTTTGTTTACTGATTTTTTAAAACTGAATTTTGTAAAATCTCTCTATGACCCCCCTTATACGTGGAACTTAGAGAAGGGACACAAAAAGTGCATGAACTGTTTTTGTTTTTTCCACCCATCTCCCCTACCCCAACCATGCATCCGCTCCCAGACACCAGTGTGTTCTTCGTGTCCACGCGATTTTTGTGTCCGTTCTCTAAGTTCCATGTATGGGGGGGGGGGGGTCATAGGATATTTGTCTTTCTCTCACTTACTTCATTTTTAGCGTGATGCCCTTGAGACCCCTTCACATCATCACAAAGAACAACATTTTATTTTTTTAAATGTCTGGATAATATTCCATTGTTTGTACCTACCACAGTCCCTTTATTCATTCGTCCATCAGTAGACACCAAGGTTGTTTTCATGTTGTGGCTACTGTAAATAAAGTGCAATGAACATGAGGGTGCATGTATCCTTCCAAGTTACTGTTTGCATAGTGAAATGTATGCCCACATCACTAATGACTTAAGTTAACCATAGGCAACTAATAACAATCTTAGCCCCTGGCAACTTTATATGGTTAAAAAAAAGAGAGAGAGAGTTTAGGACCTGTGACCTGGATTGGCCACTGGTCTAAAAAACCAATGGCTCAATGACTAATTCCAAATTTCCATTAATTAGGTCTGAGACATGGTATAAATCACTGCTTCCTTTCTGAGAATCCTTTGGTCTTAAAACGAGGCCATCTGTGGCATCTTCTTTAACTCTAAATATTCAAAAGTGCAACTGGGTGTCTGTTACCTACAGGAGTTGAGGGGGACTGGGGTACAGAAATGGGTGAAATGTGGGTGATGGTAGTCTATAATAACTCAGTAGCCCAGCAGAAAGAAAATTCAACGAAGAGAAAATCGGTCATCAAAATATTTCATTTCTTGAGCAACAAAGTCATCCATTCTCCTTTTTAAAATAAATTATTTTTTTTAGGATTTCTAAATCTATTCCTCAGTAATCTTAAGAGCAATTACTTTCCAGTTTACGTAACACTATAAAGAACTTTTACATTTTAGCAAGAATTTCCAAAGCCGATTTAATTACAGGAAGAATATTATTTTGAGATCATACTTAACTTAATTTAACTCATTACTTAATTTTCTCAACCCTAGAAGAGTTACTGTATTTAACAGATGAGGAAACTGAAGCCTATGAAATAACCTGGGCTGAGTACACCCCACTTCCAAGTCGGATGGATCCAAGCTTTTATTCCAGATAGACTCACTGTCTTTACACACTACTTTCCTAGCATACATTCTCTCACACACAGTAAACATTTTATAAGAAAGAAACTTGGAATGAAGCTCTCCTTACTCTAACGGAGAGCTGCCTTAGACAGCGCCCTCGTGGGCACAAGGGAACATCTCAGTCATCCGGACAGTAGGCGCTTCCTGTCCTGTGTTAGGAGCTGCATGGACAACCCAAAGCCCTGGATTTCCCATGTGATTGGCTTCTGGTTTCAGAATGCAGTTCGTGAAGCATACTCAGATACAGACATGACCTTGTGTTGTGCTCCTTCGTAGCACTTTCCATTCTTAAGTCCTGGCTGGGAGTGACACAGAGAAGGTGGTGGTTAACCCAGGACATTGGTCAAGTGAATGAGGTTTCCTCAAAAGAACATATCCAGTTTCCAAATGAGTTCATTGGTCACACTTATTTCTGTTAGTTACTGAGATTACTTTTCTAAGGCCAATAATACCATAGGCTTTCTTTGTTTCCCTTCCATTTTTAAGCCAGCACTGATGCTTTCGCATGTCCTAGTCTCACTGCCTAGCCCAGTGCCCACTGGTATACAACGATTTATACCAGGGAAGCCCCCAGAGCAGTCTGGGTGGAAGGATGGATGCTGGGAAGGGCAGGAACGTGCGCTGGCAGTTGTCTCATGTGGGGAGTTCAAGGAAACCTATGACTTGCACTCAGGAGGCCTGACTGAAATAGCATCTGACCCTAATTTTCTGTGACCTCAAACGCATCATTTCTATGGTAGGAGCATTGGTCTTTTGCCCATCCAATAGGAAAGCCTGACTTCCTGGGAGGATTAAATGCAATAATAACTGAGAGTGCCTGGCAATAGGTTTTCAGTAATATGTTTGGCGAATCCAAATAAAATTACAACCAGTCTACGCTAAACCATCTGTTCTAAAAGAAATATAGTACTGAGCAAACACAGAACAAAAGAGCTAATAATCTCTCTCTGGGGTAAATGCACTCACTTTAGGAAATCACAATTTTTTACTTCAGTATATTAACCTTTTGTAATTATGTTGTACTTTGTCTAGGTTAATTTATTATATCCTTTTAGGCTATACTCACTAATGCCAATTGGGAATGACTGGACTTGACTATTTGGAAAAACTAGCCTATAGTGTCACAAATTTGGTAGATGGCAACATTTTATAATAACTAAACATTTAACTTGTTTTTTGTTGCTCATATTTGCAGAGTATCGCTCCATAGCCAACAAAATCTCATGACTGTCTCAAACCTTGGTGTCATATTTGGCCCAACTCTAATGAGGGCACAGGAAGAAACCGTGGCTGCGATGATGAATATTAAATTTCAGAATATTGTGGTTGAAATTCTGATAGAACACTATGAAAAGGTAAGCTGCATTTTCATGTGGGAGCATCAGATTCGTAGCTTACATTCGTATCTGTTTGACTGTCCATTTGCATTATCTGTGAGCTTTACGTTGTGACCTCAGGTTCCTGTGGTTCTTTCAGTCTGGTGTTGTCTAAATTAGTTCTTCATGAGGACTTCGATTTTCTTTTTCCGGGTTCAGTTTTTAAGTTCTCCTCTAAACCCTCTGAACAGACAGGTGGTTCCCTGTCCTTCTCCATCATTTACTTTTCAAGATTTTCTTCTGTAGCATTTATGTAATCAGTTTTTTGCTCATATTCAGAGAACACTTTTAGAATTACTGCGTGGTTAAATCTATTTTGATCTTGTAATTTCTCTGGGATTACATTTTTAGTGATACATTAGAAGTGATACTCTAAATAAAATCAAAGAAAACATTCGGGGAACAGAATCTTGAAGCCTTTTCTATATCCAAACCCTAAGAAGAGTTTCTTTGTAAGAGTGTGACCTTAGAACAACTATGGAAATCGGAAGTTGGGAAAGCCAAATTGATTGGGTTATTAAGAAATTTGACCATTGAAGCTGTAAACATTTTGTGACACATTTGTGTCTGATCTAGTCCTTGTGACAGAGTGACTGTGCCTCTCTCCTTCCCCGGGTCCCTTCCTAGTGCCTGTGGAAGAACAGCCTTAGTGTCTGCCTACGGCTGGCAGCTTCCTCACAGCCAGAGAGCGCAGGGCCGCCTCTCAGGGCCATGCTCAGACCTCGCCCTGCAGTCTACACATTTCTTGACAGTTCGGAGGCAATAACATGGTAGCGCCTTCTCCTAAGCAACGAGGGGCACATTCTGTTGGGGGAACGCTACAGAAGGATCCTCTTCCCCAGGGCCATGTTCAGCATGAAGAGGGACAGAGACTATCACAGTGGAAAAAACCCATGTGTCATGACATAGACATCTGTTCCTATTTGAAAGGTTTCTTAAAATTATCGAGAAACCTGAAGATGGGGAATGCAGGAGCACAAAAACGAAAACCCAGAGAAGAAGCATCCCTCGGTGTAAACAGACGAGAAAGTTGTGATTAATCTTGGTGGGTTTTTTGTTTGTTTGTTTGGCATCAAGCATCTCTTGCCACACAACTGATTAAGCAGAATATAGTTCTAAGATTATGGAATAACTCTCAAAGCTGCTTTTATGATGAAAGTGGCGATTTCACCCTTTTGTTGACCTCAGTTCCTTGTTCTTCGACAGATTTTCCACACCGCCCCAGACCCCAGCATCCCTCTTCCTCAGCCTCAGTCTCGATCTGGATCTCGAAGGACTCGTGCCATCTGCCTCTCTACGGGCTCCCGGAAGCCCAGAGGGAGATACACTCCATGCTTGGCAGAGCCTGATAGTAAGTGTGCCCGCCTTAGGGAGAGGCTTTCTCCATTCTTTAATTCAGCCTTTCTACCTGTAATTAGTTAGAAGTGAGTTGTTACTGACGCTGTCTCCCCAATACCTCCTCCAACTCTAACATTTACATGTTCTCTGTCAGTGTAGTTACAAGGTACCTTAGACAAGCAAATTCATTACTGCTACAAAGGAAATAATTAGTTTGCTCTGTGCTCCCCCCACCCCCTTTTTTCTGCAGCTGTGATTAAGTACGTGAGGTGCTATTTTGTGGAAGGTTTTGTCCTATTGTGAAAGTGGTTAGAGAAGAAAGCAAAAGAAAGTCTGGCTGAAGCAGTCATTTTCTTTCTTCCTTTCACATTATGTTCTTAAAGCATCATCTCTTGGGTATCAAAGTATTTCAAAGAGAGAAAGAAAAGAAATCAGAGAAACCACACCATACATTATCACTAACTTCCTGCTCTGAGCCACAGCCCAAGAATAAGTGGTTGGCATCTTGAGCCTATAATGTGTGTGAAACTGGCCTTTTCATTTTACTTCATACCCTTAAGCCTCCCAGTTTTTTCACGATCAATATTTAATAGCAAATACTTAAGATTTAGACATAGTTGAACACTCTATTACAGCTTCTATGCTTCTTTTCTTATACCTTACTTTTAGGAACTTTTAAAAAATACACCTAGTAAAACAGCCTGTTACTTGTGCTGCTATATTCTTAGCAGGAAAAGGAAAAGGTTCCCTCTTCAGAAATAGAAAGCAGTTTGTAATTTGCAGCTGATATTTAATGGTACCTTTGGGTGGAGGAGGATTCAGTTACATCGTAACTCAGAATAACCTAAAGATCACAAAAATAAAAATAAATTTAAAAGGCAGAATATATCTCTAACCTTCCCCCTTTTTCTTTTTTCTTTTTTTTTTTTTTTGTAATATAAATCATGGAATCATTTCCCTTGTGAGTCCTGATTCAGAATTTTTTCTGAATTCAAGTCTGCCCACTCATGCTTCAACAAGTAACATAATTTCCTAGGACCAGGTACATATTGTACATAAGATCTCCCTTGAATAGTATTGAAAAATGCATTCCCCAAGTTCAAGTGCATATTTAAAGCCTTTCTCCAGTACAAAGGATGGTGTACCATGCCAGGTAAAGGCCCATCACTTTGGTGGGACTGGGTGGCCACAGAACGTGTGTGCGTCGGAGAATGGACAGGTTTTGGTGGGGCCGTTCTCAGCAGAGCACCGCTGCCCTCTCTCTCCTGCTCCTGCTCAGGTGACTCCTACAGCAGCAGCCCGGCCAGCACGCCCATGGGAAGCATCGAGTCCCTCTCCTCTCACTCCTCTGAACAAAACAGCAACACGAAGCCCGCTTCCTGCCAGCCCAGGGAGAAATCTGGAGGGATTCCTTGGATTGCATCCCCATCACCTTCCAATGGACAGAAAAGTCTTGGTCTCTGGACAACTAGTCCTGAATCCAGTTCTAGAGAAGATGCAACGAAAACGGATGCAGAATCAGATTGCCAGAGTGTCGCCTCCATCGCTAGCCCAGGGGATGTTTCCCCACCCATAGACCTGACCAAGAAAGGGCCACATGGGGTTTCAGGACACAAAAGAGCCTCAGCTACCTTTCTCAAGTCCATCTCTGCAGCTGAAGGTAAGCCAGAGTTTAGCTTACACGAGATGTCACTAACTCTGTGTCACTCACCAGATTATTCAGCATGATTAAGCAAGGGAAAAATGGGAGAGGGACTAATGGTGCTTATCTAGTTTGTTCCTTGGGAGCTAAGATTTTTCAGACTCCTCTGCACTGTGACTTGTTACCTGGCTCTTTCTGTCTCCGTGAGGTGACGTGTTTGTAATCGCTGTAGATTCTGAGCTCCCTGAGTGATGGGCTGCAGTGCTAAAAGGACATTCTGTACCTTCTCATTTGGTTTCAGAGAAGAATGCTTCCTTTTGTTAGGCACATGTACTGGGTTATCGCTATTATGTTGCCTAATAACACCTTGCCTGTTTTCTTGGGCTTTCTTTTTAGGAAACAAGAGCTACAGTGGCTCCATTCAAAGCTTAACTTCCATAGGTTCCAAAGAAACGCCGAAAGCCTCACCACACCCGGACCTGCCTCCAAAAATGTGCAGGAGGTTAAGGCTAGACACCGCCTCGAGCAATGGCTACCAGCGGCCTGGCTCCATGTAAGTGAGGTTTGTGTTCACTGTGTCTGCCAGGGGACCCATGGGGATGGAGGTGGCCGAAGAAGGCCTTAGGACTTCCACAGCCGAGGCCTCATCTGTAGAGTGGGTACAGTCCACTTCTGTAGGGCCCTGGCCTCTTCTACAAGTGATGTGGAAGTTAGAGTAAGCTTAAGACTTGTATAAGCAACCACAGGCAGATGCTTCAAGTACTTTCCTTAGAAGCAGAACTATGGCTTAGTTTAAGGACATGAAAATAGATGTATAATGTAGTAGTTATGCGCTGTGAAGCCAGAAACCTTCCTGTGAAAGCTAAACATCAACTCCTCAGCTGCAGAGACTGCTGTGCCAGGCCCAGCTCCCAGGCCCCCCCAGCCCCCAACTCTGTTAGAAATACAACTGCTTTCTAGCTGTGAAGGTTGACCATCATGTATCTCCCCTCCTGAGAACTCACTAATTTAAACAAGCTTATAGAGAACAAGGAACATGATAGCCAAAAGGGAGCTGCTCCCTCTGATCAAAAGAAATGACCCGGAAGTGCAGAGGCTGATAAGGTAGGGTACACAGACATGAGCAGAAGGGGGTCAAAGAGGAGAAATGGGAACCTGGATAAACAACTAAGCAAAATCAAAGAGGAAAAGGTTTTCTCCCTTTCTCTTTATCTGCCGACTTTTGCTGAGCATTCCAAACGCTGTATTTCTATTACTAAGCATCTTTGCTTACGTTCTCTCTTATAAGCTCCACAGTATCCTTGTGCAGTCCGTAGTGTAAACCTCATTGTAGAGATGATGGGAATTGATACTCAGAAAATTTAAGGATTGCAAAATGTTACCTATCAAATTCTATTAAAATAATAATAACATTTAAAAAGGAGAGTTTAAAAAACCAGTCTACGTATACTCAGCTAGTAAGGGTAGAGCTGGTATTCCAACCCAGGGTTCTGTAGCTTGAATCTGCACTCCCTTGTACTATGCCCATTTTTAATATGGTGATATTCTTGACATTTAAATCACTCCTCAAAAGGTCAGTCAGACATTTTACTAAGCTTATTTCCGTACAGAGTGTTTTAAATTCATTTGTTCCTCCCTTTCTCTGATACAGACCTTTTGGTTTTGGTGTGTTTAACATATATTATCTCTCTCTTGGTCAGAAATTCAGCTACCATGATATAGACAAATATATTTGTAAATCTGTCTACTTCCCAGTGTGTATAGTTCTAGCCACGGAGGGAAATTAAATTTTAAGTCAATGTGTAGAGGGAGAATAAAATTCCATCCTTTTTGAGGGAAAGAGAAGAGCTTCCATTTTGTGATTTTACTGATAGTATAAGTTTGTTCTGTGTTAGTCACAAACAAACTCGAGATTATCAAATGGTTCTGTTCTGGGAGAAGTCTGTCAAAGAAATGAATAAGATAGATTTTTAAAAATCTAGTTTAGAATATCATTAAAGGAATTTGATATCTCTTCTAGTAAATATAGAAACTTCTCCACTTACTGAGGCAACCTTAGTTTTCATTCTTTTTACTCTCTACCTAATTTTCTCACCTCTTTACATCTATCAATGCCCCCACTGATTTAAACAAGATTTGAATCTACAGATTTATTTATTGGCCATATTTTCACAGTTGTCTCCACATTACAGGAAACTGTGTTCAAATATTAAAGGGTACATGAAACAGCGTTAGAATTAGTTTTGTCTTAGCTGTCAAAATGAACCACTCTTTTGTCATGTTGACTTGATTTTTCTCTTGTGGCTTCACAGGTGTCAATAATACTGTTGCTGGGAGCAAAACAGGGAGAAATTGTTCCCTTTTACTGCTCCCAGTTTTCTGCGGTAGAAAAAATAAGGGCAGAAACCTCCCCAAAGGGGAGGTATCTATAGGTTTATTACAGTTTGATACTCCATGAACTGTAGACTAAAGCTAAAATTTTCTTCCACATTAAATCTTTCTTCTTCTTTCTTTAAATCTTAAAACAATTAAAAGTAAAGTCAATTTTGGGGGGACAGTTCTTAACTACTAATTATCATTGTTTCGGTTAATTGCTAACTCTGAATTTCACTGTAATCCGAATGATTTTTCTAATTGATTTAATGAAGCTTGCATTGTTAAATTATTTTTCAGTGTGGCAGCGAAAGCCCAACTGTTTGAAAATGTTGGTTCAGTTAAGCCAGTTTCTTCTGGGCGGTAAGTTTCCAAAACAAAGTAAAAAGTAAATAACATAGCGGTGAGGTTGCTGCCTTGTGTCGACATGGTGGGTCATCTTTAATAGCTCTGCCCCTCCATTCCGCAGGTGGTCAGACCCACATTCACTCTTAGTTCACGGGGAAGAGGTCATGTCCATAAACCACACGAAGCGTCTTAGACTGTCCAGGTGATGCTGGGTTTGCTCAGATCTTCCCAAGAAGGATTCTAAACAGATAGGTTTTCTAGAAGACACAGTTGCTCTAACCTTTGTACAACAAAGAATCCTTTGGTAACAGTGGAAATTTTTCAAAAGTATATTCTTGACTTTGAAACTTACAGAACTTTTTCTGAAAGAAGCTTTTCGCCCCAAAATCACCTAGATAGGCCCTCACGTGTTAGTGTTTCAAAGTCCACAGATTTGGTATCTTTCCAGGATGTTGGTCAGTATGTTGCATTTATATAACAGATTCCAAAATATATTCATGATCTCACCTCTGCTGTAGCATCTTTGCCTTCTACCTTTTTATCAAGATATGGCGATAGTTAGGCTCTGTGCACATCAGAGCAAACATCACGCATCTCTGAAACTGTCATCTATTTTAGGCCTTAGTAGAAGAGATTTGCTCCCTTCTACTGTCAGCCCAGCTATGTGGTTGAATTGCTCCACTAGATGGAGCCTTGTTATTAGGAAGCTGGAAATCTGTTAAGAACTCAAGTATAGTAATCAAAGAGATAAACGCACAGAGCTTTTAAAAAGCCAGCTGTTGAAATACATCAGAATGCTGTCATGTCATAAATATATACTCAAATGTTCAACAGTCAGTCTGTTCATTTTTGATGTTCTTCTACATTCAAAATACTACTCTAAATCAACTCCTAATGGCCGTCAGCATCAACTCAGAGCTTACTAACTGGTGCATTGAAAATTCCTGTCTTTTTCGACTGGTGCACAGCACTGTGGACCGTGTCGTAACTCTCCACCCAGACGCAGGGACAGAGGCACACAGTGGACCTCACAGTCACATCCTTGGTTCACCACTTCCTGCGTGTATAACCTTGCAGTCGCCTATTTAAGAAGTTTATTGTCTTTATAACATGAAGGTTATAATTCTGGTTTTGCCAAATTGTTGTAAATTTCAAATACACAGCAATCTATTTGGTAAGTTTTCCACAGATGGTCTTTACAATAACAACTGTTACCATTATGATCATTTTTATTGAAACTACTTTCTTTCTTAAGATATTCCAGCCTCTCATTAATATATTTTAATGATCTATACACATGAACTCTTAACAGCCCCACCTGGTGTTTTCTGGTACCATTCAATACAACTGGACAATAGAAAGAAGTTGAAAGCATTTTCCTTACTAATCTCCTACAGTGCTTATTTCATGTTCCTGCTAGGGAACTCAGGGCTGCCCTTGAATTAGTCCTTGAACAATGATAGAACTGGTAGTGAGCAGTAGGAAGACTAGCTGTGTTTGTGAAAAAGACTAATTAGGAGATTCTAGTGGGTAACCTTGAGCAGGAAAAGTAACATCTCCGGGAGTCAGCAGCGGGGTGATCTATTTAATCAGTGATGCACCTGAACAGATCCTTTCAAGTGGTCTTTCTAGAGAGTTGGGAAGGCAAGAGTACAGTCAACCATTTGGGATGGAATTGGCAAGATTTAAAAGATGGTAATTAGGTCAGTGACAAAGGAATGAAAAGCAATAAGGAGAATTTTATGGACAGAATCGGGACTGGGCAACTGCTTTGATACTGGGAGTGAATGACAGATAAGGAAGATTCCAAGTCTTTGAGTCTGAGTGGGAGAAAGAATGGCAACTTAGTTTCTCTTCTCGGCTTGTGAGTACAAGGGGGAAAGGCGGGTTTGGGCTGCAGCATCTGGGTGAGGGAGCCCCAGGACACTGAGAGACCAGGAGACCGCGCAACCAGGAGACCGCGTGGAGTTCACCATTTGAGGAACTTGTTCACAGCAGTTATTCTGCATCGATGAAGGTGGGGCTTTTTGAGTGAAAAGGAAAAACGTTTGAGCATTGATTGGTCTTTGGGGAATGATTTAGTTTAATGTTCTGTCCAAGGACAAAGTGAAGGAATGACCAGGAGGAGCAGGCCCAGTCAACGTTGCAGAAGCCGCTAAACTGTCAAGGAGGCCGTTAGAGGAGAACAGCGGTTGCAGCCTCTGAGACACAGGCTACTTCTTTAGGATTTTAGAAAATATTATCTGTGTGCTTTTATACTGCCTTCAGCAGTGAAATTCTCGGCACGCAGGAAATGTGAGAGAGAGAGAGAGAGTGTGTGTGTGTGTGTGTGTGTGTGTGTGTGTGTGTGTGTGTTTATCATCGTTAACTGGCTCTCCAGAAAACATTGCATCCATTGTGATCCAGTCACTTTTTTATTTTGCTTGTGCTCCACTGTTGCAGATTTTGCACAGAGACCCTATGAAACCTTTGTAAGTCCACTCATCAGCATCAGGCAGCATTTAGCATGGGAATGGGGCTTGTGGTCACATCATCCTCCATACGTAAGGGGCGAAATGGCTCTCAGGACAGTAAATGTTATCATCACCTTACTCTCCCATGCAGTGAGAAGCAGGATTTTCAAAATCCTTCCTGAAGCACATTAGAATCTTCTGAAGAGAGGCTCGATAGGCGACAGTGTAATTTTCACCTCCTCAGCACAGCAAGGCAGGAAAAGGGGAAGCATTAGCACCTGGAGAGGAGACCAGTGCCCCTGAAGTCTGCATTAAATCATCCAGGGCTCTGCGGACTTAACACCTGTACTCACAGAGCGCAGCAGAAGAAAATTACACCTGTCTAGACACAGGCACAGACAATTGAAACGTTATGACAGAGGTTTTTTTTTTGCTGCGTATTTTTGACACTTTTAATGATATCTATTTATTTAGTGATACAATTATTCTACTTGCCTCCTCGCCACATAATCTTATAAAATACTATATAGAGAACTTTCATGTCTGAAATATTAATAAAAATAGTTTAATTGCCTTAGTGCAATTTCAAAAATCATGTCATTGTATGAACAATGATATTTTTATCATTTCTATAACTATGGAAATCGTTTCCTTTATATCTATTTTAAGGATTCAAAACAATAAAACAATGTTTATTGGAGGAAATTGTTGCTGTTAGGAAATGCAAATACTATTTATTTTATTTTACTTATTTTTAGACAGAGAGGAAGGGAAGGAGAAAGAGGAGAGAAACATCAATAAGTGGTTGTCTCTTGTGTGCCCTGCACCAGGGAGGGACCTTGCCTGCAACCCAGGCATGTGCGCTGACTGGGAATCGAACCAGTGACCCTTTGGTTTGCAGGCCGGTGCTCAATCCACTGAGCCACACCAGCCAGGGCTGGAAATGTGAATTCTTAAAAAATCTTTAGTCCCTGGCCGGTGTTGTTCAGTGGATTGAGCACAGGTCTGCCTACAGACCAAAGGGTTGCCAGTTTGATTCCCAGTCAGTGCACATGCCTGGGTTGCAGGCCAGGTCCCCAGTTTGGGGTGGATGGGTGACAAGCAGCTGCACATGGATGTTTCTCTCCTTCTCTTTCTCTTTCCTTTCCCCTCTCTCTAAAAATGAATAAATAAAATATTTTTTTAAAAATCTTTACATATTTTTAGAGAAATAGCTATGCAACTATCAATCATCAGATACCGGATTAAATTATTACATTTAACTAGAAGATGTATAAGAATAAAACTAGTATTTTTTCTACTTAAGAATACTACCATCTGATTCTTAGAAGTCTTCAGAACTTGGTAGCATCCTCCGCCCCCACCTCCCACGCATGTCAACCCACACACCCAGGTGCACACGCGCGTGCGCACACAGACGCGCCTGCGCAGCTCTTCTTTAGTGTAAAGCCTCGTCTTTCAGTGGGTGCCTCCTCTCCCTCAGTTCTTCCTTAAACCGCGTTTCATAGGAAAGCGGGCTAGTGGACCTTCCCAAACCCGACTCCTGCAGGCTCCCCGGCGACCTTTCTGAGAGTGTGGAAGCAGACTTCTCCTCCGTAAGCTTTCCAATCTTCAGATGACATTCGAGGACCCTGGTTTAAGGGACCTCGCCTCGCTCTGGGAACGTGGAGATGAGACATTGGGTCCAGCTCCAACCGGAAAGTGAAATAACGTAACCTCGGTCCTTTGAGAGATCTACAGTGGCAAACACTGGTGCTGCTTGTTTGCAGATTCAGTACCGGGACTGAAAGGAAAGACAAGGTGCCTTGAATGTTTAAAGGACTCATCGCATAGAAAAAGAGCCCAGAGCATCAGAGCATCCACCCCCTTTTTTTTCTACTCACTTATTCAGGAAATACTTACTGAGTTACTACTAGGCATCTAGCATCATTCATGGAGGATACATTTTGATTAGGAGAGAAGATAACAGAAATAATAAAATAACAAAAGAATAAGAGATATTAGTACCACGCAGACTTAGGAGGGTGTGATAAATGCCCGGGCAGCTATTTTCAGAGTGTGTGGTCAGGGAAGACATGACCTTCAGCAAAGCTCAGGAAATTTGAGATAAACTAGATGTACAGAACCATGCAAGATTCAAGAGGAAAGCACCTCAGAGCAAGGACTCGGCTGGCCCTGAGGTGGAATGAGTTTGGCATGTTGGAGGAGGAGCAGCAGGGCAGGTGGGACTGGGGTACAGCAGGTGGGCAGAGGCAGGCACCACCGAAGCTGGAGAGCCGCTGGGCACCTGACTGTGTGGGTTGGAGCTAGAGTTGGAAACCAGTGGAGGGCTTGTTATCGGGGAAATGACGTGATCGTCAGAACCTTTTTCAAACTGTCCTGGCTGCTCTGTGAAGAATGTATTGCAAGGGGACAAAGACAGGAGGAGGGAGCTTAGAGGATTTAGGATGGTAGGAAGCCATTCAGTGAGTCACACCAGCACTGGTTTTGGCTGGCAGTCTGGTGGTGGTAGAGACGGTGAGAAGTAGGTGGAGTCAGGAGGAGTTCCACCTCTCACCAAGGTGTGCGGCTGTTGCACAGTAAAGGTGACTTGACTGATAACTTGATTGGCGGCCTCAGATGATGGCCTTTTTCGTGTTGGCTCAAATGTTTTTAATAGCACTCCTATAAGACTCTGAGATTCTGGCTTCTCTTAGAAAACCAGCCAATCTGGCTATATCGAGCCCAAACTCCCATATGGTACACATGCCAGAGCTGAGTATTGGCTTCCCTTCCTAAGAAATAGATGGATCCCTGGTTTCCAAAGCCTCTATCTGTCCCATCTTCCTCCTGACAGTGAGGTTGTAATCGGTCACCACCTGTCCTCAACTGACCCATCATGCTTACTTAACTCATTTACTGTACCTTGTAGACATTCGGATCTCACCTCTGGTAGTCTGAAACTAAAGTGGAAAAACATGTTTTATGGTACCTATGACCCTCAATATGTGATGCGAAAACAGCATATCTACCAACAATTAAATAATAGCATCCTTTAAAACCAACTCAGGCTGTTTGCTGTAAGGCAGGTGGTTACCCTTGCAGGCACCACCTGGAAACGTGAGACGGGCTTTTGGGCCGCTGCTGGTGTGGTCTGATTGCACGTGTGTGTGCAGTTCGTGAGACATGCGCTTCTCAGACTTACATTTGCATGTGATACTCCGATTACAAGGAAAAACATGTCATTTTTAAGAATAATTTGAATATAAATGCATTTTTTTTAATGTTGTGGTTTTTCCAAACTGTCTTTTGCCTTTTCAGCCAAGCCAAAGCCATGTACTCCTGTAAAGCCGAACACAGCCATGAGCTCTCCTTCCCCCAGGGGGCGATATTTTCCAACGGTAGGTGTACCCACTGCCTCCCCTGAAGGAAGTGTGTCCATGAGAGTCTAAAGTGGAAGCCGGGGGACTCAGAACCTAGTTCAGACTTTGCCTCCCCTGGCCTCCACAAGTGAACACACCAGATTCCTCTGGCCTCCGGTTTACTCCCTGGTGTATGGGGGCGGGAACAAGGTGGGGCAGAATCGAGGGTGCAGGGAGGATGTGAGAAAGTGGCTGACTGATCGATTATATGAATATAGAGGACATTTCCAGCTTTCAAGGTGCTGTGACGTTGTCTTGACGAGTGGATGCATGCAGTCTGATGTGGATTCTTGCCTATTTGTGTATATAATTATTTGAAGCTAATGTTCTTTGAGTGACATTAACTTTTTATTTTTCCAGTGTACCCATCAGTGGAACCAGGATGGTTGAAGGCGACTTATGAAGGCAAAACAGGACTAGTCCCAGAAAATTACGTTGTCTTCCTCTAATATTAGTTAGCGGATGGCAGTATCTTCATGGTATCCATGGTGACAAATAAGAAGTGCTGTGATTTTATCTGACACAGATCAGCCCACTGAATGAAAACAGACCATTTCCATCAAGTCCCGCACCAACAGGCTACGTAGCTCCCTAGTAACGGAAAATGAGAAGAGAAGTTTAAATTGTTTGCCATTCTTTGTATTTTTTTTTGGCCGGTTTCTTATTTTAAAGTATCTTTCTTTTTGATAAGTAACTCTCTACATGTCTCCTTCATAACCATTGAGAATCTCAAATACTGTAGAAATACGATTGCCCAGAAATTTGAAAACTAGAAATCTGATGTAAGGATTTTGGAGTCTGTCCTTAGCTGTCTGGCATTCTCTGAGGAATCTTGAAATCATTACTTAAAAATGTATTGAAATTGTTCATTTACTATTCTTTCTTAAAAGTATACTATTCTTATATATGATTATTTTGCTGGTCCTAAACATTTCAAGGAAATAAGTTTTTTTTTTTTAATGTAACTATTTTTGTTTACCAAGTAGATGATGATATGCAAAGGTAATGATGTATATGATGTGTGATGTCTGTAAATGAAGCCGAATTAAGTCATACACTGAGTGCACTTGAAACACTCCGCCCAGAATTCCAGACACCTGCCATTGGCTGTGAGCAGGGAGCAGCAGACTTTCTGTGAAGGCCTCCTAGTAAACACTCCGTCCTTTGCAAGCCCCGTGGCTCCATCACATCCGTATCTCAGCCTTCGTGCAGGGAGCAGCCATAGACAGAAAGAAACAGATGAGCGTGTCTGTGCGCCAGTGCAGCTTTCTGTAGGGACCCTGAAATCTGAAGGTCTTATCATTATGAGACTCGAAATAGTCTTCTTTGACTTTTTAAAATCCATTTAAAAACGGAAAAGCCGTTTCAGCTGATGGATCACACTAAAGCAGGTAGCAGCAGGTTGAGTGTGACTTGTGGGTCTTGGTTTGCTGACCCTTGGCTCAGAGAGTGTGTAAAAGTACCCTTTTATCTTTGGGGGGTTTATGAAATTTTACTATGTTAACCTATGAATACTGATGAATGATATGCACATATCATCTGCTAGTCACATTATAATGGCATCACAAAAGTATAATCACCATAAGAGGGAAACTGTAAAAGTATAATATCCAGGCATACTACTTAAATTCTACTTGTAACACTGAAGTGTCAAAGGATTTTGTTAACACCTAATTTTGGCTAAAGAGAACTTCTTTACAAATGATAGGGAAGTTTTAAGACACTGGTAGAGAAGCTACGCCTTCTAAAGTCTATGCTTAAACAGAATTTAAACATAAAGGCACAGGATTCTTAAGTTATTTAAACCACAAACTTGTAAAATGGTTTTATCATTTTTAGAGGAATACAGTATGTACATGATTTTGTTAAATGCCATTCAATTTACAGCCTTTACTAGGGATTTCACTGAATTTGTAGAGGATAGAAATTTGCTGCCCATTAATATATATCATCGACATCTGGTCACGCACCAACCACTATTTCTATTATTTCCATAATTCTAGTGTTATTTCTATAACTATTTGCATGTGGCAAAGAGCCTTTCTCCTCGAGATTCCAAAGAGCTGGCCACCGGCCCTTTCACAGCCCAGCGCCGGCCCACGAGGCTCTGTGTCAAAGTTACTTCCCAGTTCTCCACCGTGCAGACTCAGGTATTGACTGTATCAGACTCTTTCTCTGTGATCTTATAATTTGTCATTTCAATCTCTTCTACTTTAAGTTCATGTTTTTAGCGTTAATAGATGATACATTCTCACACACAAGCATACACAACTATGCCTTGGAGCATTTATGCTTTTAAAATTCAAAATGTAATAATAGCATAGAATTTTAAAATAAAGAGAATAATAATAGGTGAAGTCACAACCGGAACCAGATATCAGTGCATTGGAACAAAAATATTTAATGTTATAAAAATTAGTAATATAATGAAAAAACCTGATATACTTTTTTTCCTCTGTCTCCTGCTGTTCTTTTTTGTGCATGACAATGGGGGGTCACTAGAGCTCGTTGATGTCTGGATCCTTGGTGGCCGTTACAAGTGATACGAGCATTGCTGACACCCTTGACTACCTTCTGCTGGAACAGAAGGCTGTCTTTCCAGTGTACCAGTCCCTTAGTCTACACAATGCTCCGTTTAAGCACTCTGCCATTGTCTGGCATCCTACCAGGTTAGAACCTCTTAAAGCACATTGATTTTCTGTCCAAGACCAACTTGACTCCAAAAGGAGATTCAGAATTCTGCTTTACTTGCTGCTGCATAAGGAAATCTCACCTTTCATTTTATTTTAACACAGACCAGAGTGTTCCTGCCTTTGATCTATCTGTGAGCTCATTCCCCTGATGCTCAGTCAGAAATTCGAGCTTTTGCTGTAAACCCTGTGGGTGGGAAGCTCTCTTTCTCCTGGTGAGGCGTATCTTGTAGCAGTACTTGCTGTAGTCCTTCTTTTTTTAAACAAGCTACAAAAGTGCTTCTTCAAACTGTGTTTTTATTTGAAGTTTTCATCTATAAGACTTGGGAGAGTGGTGCTTTGTTTGTTCCTCATAACAATTACACATATAAGCAAGTCATGGTCATGTATTGGAGATAGACTAAAGCTGCTTTTCTCAAGAAATAAATTTCCTTCGGACAAAGTATTTATGAGATTTGGGAAAATCAAGGTGTGTGCTCTGAATCACAATATTAATTACACAAGAAAGTAATGCCAATTATTGGAAGGTCACATTCAAAATTGTAACAGCATTTCGATAGTGAAACCTCAGCTTTCCAGGGACATGAAGTTATGTTAGAATTGCTACATCCACACCATACAAACATACAGTGTGGACACCCAGTCATTGCTTGCAGTATCACCAGTATGAAGATGAGATTGCTGAGTCATCGTCTTGTGTTATGTGAACGCATCCCCAAGAACAAAACACTTACGTATTTAACAGGTGACTCTTGTTGTACCATAACTACCAAGTTTAACGAAATTAGTCTATCACCTGAAGGCTTTTTCTGTTGTGTTATGTGAATATATATGTCTGAACAGTAAAATAGTGTTTGTATTCCTGTAAAGTCCATGAAGTATGAGGAAGTGCTTTCTCCTTGTTTGATGTGAGTGCTTTTGCTAATTGCATCGGCAGTCTGCTTTCAAATATGAATGAGCGTAACCAGGTTTCTCAACAATGGCTTGATTGCTGGCTCTTTCAGGGGTGGTGGAGAAACAAAAAATTAGGTACCTTACAATCCTGAACAATCCAGGTTCCCAAACAGGAAAAACGGAGATACATAATGACTTTCATTCTTATTCTAGATAGTTGCTTTTACCTATTGTGGCATACTTTCTAAATTTCCACTGTGTTGTAAGGCAAATAAACCCTGGCACCTTAGTCCTGGGAAGCTGGCACCCTGTTAACCTCACTCCCAGCCTCGTTCTTCAGGTCTGTGTCTCCTGTGAGAAAGGACACCATCCACATGGATGCTGCTACTGCTGAGGGCTTCTATAGGGCCTTTCTGCCAACAACGTCAGTTCGTAGTGAACCCCCTAAATTATGTATTCAGGATGCTTTTGCCAGCCTTTAGGAACCCAATTTGGTTATACTTCATTGACTGAAGTTAGAGGTAGAGCAATTCAGGAACAAATTTTGGTCTTTGGTTTTACAGTATATTTAGAATTTGCAGCTGTTTACTCTGTGCCAAAAACACTGGATGGGACCCCCCAAAATATATATATATATCCTGGTAAAGGAAAATAAAACAGAAACTTGACGATTGCTCAGAAGTTATTTTGCTCTTGACTAATGTTTTTCATTTAGGGTGGAAATTGCTGTCTAATTTTTGTCTCCTACTTTTTTTGGTTACTTTCCAAAAATCAAACGCATTTTACAAATGAGGTTAACTGTTCTGAATAGTACACATGCTGGCTGTTTCCTGTTGAGCCACAGACTTAAATCAGGTGTTTGATTTAGACTTAGTGAGGCTTAACTCAACTGGTCTCACTCTCCTAAACACAGTCATTGGATCCATCCATTGTCAGTAATGTCTTCCTGCTTCAGCTGTGCAGGTTCTGCTTGGTAGTGAACCTTGTACAAACTCAGGCTTATGAATGGCATGGACTTTTAGAGGATCAGATCAGTAAATAGGACTTTTCATTTTTTAGGCAGCTGCATCCACTCTTTTAAATAAGGACTCTCAAATGAGAACATTGATAGCCCCCGGAACAAGCCATTGGCAGAAAACTGACCTGCACATTCCAGGCCAATGTTCAAAAACAGTTGTATGAGGTAGGGGTCCCATAGGCAGGTCATCACTTCTCCCCCTGGCACTCATGAGAAAGATGCCAAGTTCAGAGCTGAATACTTCTCGGTGCTCCTGGGAGAGATGGAGTCTGCGAGTTTACTGAGGAGTCCCAAAAGGCAGGGGCCATTTGCAATTATACAGTGTCGATAATCCTCCATCATCCCAGATGCTCGTGCACAGGCTACATGAGGAGCTGAAGTAAGTGTTGGAGGTGCATGGGGCTGCAGGTGCCAAGACCACCCTGATTAGAAACCATCTCCCTTTTATCTGCCTCAGCAGTATTTCCCACGGTCTCTACCCTCCCAGGGTTCAGAGCACCCTAGGTTTTCCTTGAACACCCCCGGTCTCTTAGATTAAAATGTGCATTGTTCTGAATGCAGCAGCATTGTTACAGATTTTGTATCTGCCTCTGTATCCACAGTCATGTCTTTTTCTACGAAGCCCACTGCCTACACTCAATTTATGCTTAAAGTCGGAGACAGTGCCACATGTTGAGAGCTGTGATTTCAAGAGTCTTCTTGAACTCTGAGCTAAAACCTGTACAAATAAATAGGGAGTTTGTCAGGGAAGACAACTGTTTTTTAAATTCAGAATTCTATTTATGTACTGTTAAAGTTTGAGGTACTATAGTTTATGTAAAAGTTTAATATCTAGATGCCATATTTCAGTACTAGGAGTTTCTTTGCAGCCATTAACATGACAAGTAAAGTATTAAATATGATGAAAGTGATTGTCAGTAAATTATCATATTGGAATTTTTGTTTATTTTGTAGTGTTTCTGTATTTATCTGCACTTTGTGCGTGTGTATACATACACACACATACATATACAAACATGTAAATACCCTCATGTTATTCCTAATCTAAATTGCCACAATATCTTTGATGTATATTTACACTGTATTTTAAATTACTTTAAAAATAAACAATGTAAGCACATTTTAATTTAATCTTTGTGCTTGAAGACCTACTGTGTTGGAGAGCGGCTGTCTTGCATTGATAAGGAGAAAAACCAAAGTTCAGGTACCGTGCGTGGTCGTTTTGGGTGTGGCTGAGTGCAAAGTCATAGCGGAATTGATAGGGTTTTCTTAACAATCGAACCGTTTCTCGAGAAATCGGCATTATGAAAGATCAGGAAAATGTTAATGTTGCTACCTATTAAGAATGCAGTTTTCTACAGGAGAAAGAAGTCACCAGGCCATAAACAAAGGATCGAATATAATAGGTGTAGAGGCTTTACCTGAAAATATGTTTGCAGAAGTTGAAAAGTGTGCTAGGGAGGAAGTAGCAACATACAAATACCCCTTTACATTTTGGTTAATTTTATGATGTTCTTGGTTGCTCTTTGATTTCTGGCTAAATTTTGCTTTTTTGTGTTAAAAAAAAAAACAAACAAGAATTGGGTATGTGATTTGTGTTGCTAAATTGATCGTTAGAGTGTCAAAGTCACCTAGCAAAACCCAGGCTGACAGGTTAATAACAGGGCCATTGGGGATACAGCCTGATTTTCTGGAATGGACTGTAATTTTCATCATCAGAAGAGAATAAAGTCATGACACAAAGATGTGGTCTCCTCAGGGTGGCAGCGGAGGTAAATTTGGTATTTGAATCCCCCACAACCATGCCAAAATCACAGCTAAACTACAGAAACACTGTCACTCAGAACCATCTTAAATCTAGCTGAAGAGAAACCCTACAACAAAGGATGTAAAAAGAAGCCACACGGAGACTGGTGGCATTGGCAGAGACTGAGATCCAGTCGGTCCCACCTCAATATGTCAGATAAAAATTGGGAGGGGGATCTCAAATGCAGAGGTGCACCCTGATGAGGCCAGGGTTCCAGCCCCATACCAGGCCCTGCAGCCAGGGTTTCCATGTTGGGAGGGTAAGTCCCCATGACTTCTGGAGTCCCAGGTATTTCTCTTAAAGGCCCTGCATGTGGATTTACTTACCCTCAGTTACAGTGCTGGAGCAGCAGCTCAACAGGCACCAGGGACATATGGGAAGAAACTGAGTTGTGTGGATTCAGCGCGAGAGCTGGAGAGGCAGCTTTCTCCCAGGCAGAAATGCTGGCAGAGGCCATTGTTCCTTTTCTGAGCCCTCCCCCCACACAGAGCCAGCAGTTGGGCGCCATATCTGAGTCTCCATCACCCTAGCTACCACTGTTAGCCTTGCCCTGGTGATTCCCTGAGGACCCTCCCCACCCAACTTGTGGGCCCACCCAAGTCATTTCCAGTGACTTTTTCATAGAAATGGCTATCTCGTGTGGAAATGGCTCCTGCTTCAGATTTTCCTAAAACAAGGAAAGCATCTATCCTCAGTGTGACATGTATCTTGCTAGGTAGCCCCAGGCCTTACATTAGGAGCAGCAGGGCTTGGTTTATAGTGTGGCCTTCCTTGGAGTAACAGCCATCTGCACATTACTTTGTAGCTCATGCTGGATGGCTCCAGGCAGGGCACAGGTGGCAGCTGATCTGGCTTGCTCATCCCAGGATGCCCCAGAACCTGTCCTGGTGGACAGATTCAAACCATATTGAAGCACCACCCAACATCCTCCATAAGCAATACACCCAAAGGGTGAACTCAGCAGGCACCAGTAAGTCCTCCTCCGTGTGGTCCACTCTTGCACTGCTGATCCTCCACAGTGGATGCAGCCAGTTGCCCTGGGAGTAAATCCCTCCTACTGAGGTGCCAATAGTGAACAAGTCTCAACTATAACATGAAGGTATACACAGCCCACATGAGCATCTGCAGTGCGCAGCTCAGGTGACAGGAGGCTGTGCCACTGGACCCTATAGGAAACCTACTTAAAAGGAAACCCACTCTACCAAACCTGGGAGACAGAGCAGCTCTACCTAATGCACAGAAACAAACACAGGGAAACAGCCAAAATGAGAAGACAAACATGTTCCAAACGAAAGAACAGTACAAAACTTCAGAAAGAGAGCTAAACAAAATTAAGACAAGCAATCACCTAGATGCAGAGTTCAAAACACAGTGAACTTAGGGGAAGAGGAGATGAACTTAGAACTTAAACAAAGAGATAGAAAACAAAAACAGAAGACAGCAGAAAACACACAATAAGAGCAACAAAAATAAAAAGAATCCAAAAGTTGGTAAGAAGCCTCAGGGACAACCTCACACCTACCAATATTTGCATCGTGGAGGATATGGAAGAGGGAGATGAGAGGAATTGAAAACCTATGTGAAAAAAATAATTATGAAAAACTTAACCTGGTGAAGGACATAGACATGTAAGTCCAGAAAGTACAGAATCCCAAATAAGAGGACCCCAAAGAGGACCGCACCAAGGCACGTCATAATTAAAATGCCAAGGGTTGAAGACAGAATCTTAAAACCAGCATGAGAAAAGCATTTATCTACATAGGAGCTCCCATAAAACTGTCAGCTCATTTTTCAACATAAACTTTGCAGACCAAATGAAATTGGCCAGAAATATTCAAAGTAATGAAAATTGAAAGAGATATTGAAATTAAGAACAAACTGACAGTAACCAGAGGGGGAGGGGGAGGGGAATAATGTGGGAAAGAAGGGAAAGGGTTCATAAATAAACAAGTATAAAGAAGCCATGGACAAAGCCCCAAGTGGGGTAGGATTGAGGGTGGGAGGTGGGTGTGGGTGGGGCAAAGTGGTGGTGGGAAAATGTAGAAAAAGAAAAAAGAAGTACAAATTGGTATTTACAGAATAGTCATATGATGCGAAGTACAGCATAGGAAGCATAGTCAATAAAACTATAGTAACTGGTCAGATGGGTACTGGAAATATTGGGGTGATCACTTAGTAAGTTATATAATGTCTAATCATGTGGTTAGACCTATAACTAATATAATATTGTGTGTCGACTGGATTTGAAAAATAAAAGGTTATGTAAAGTAAAAAATATGGCACAAAACCTGTTGAAATAAGATTCATGTGAGTAATTTTCACTATGATTAAGTAGGAAAGGACTGTTAGGCTGTGTTAGAGATTTGCGTGGAGCATACTGTTTGAGAATGTTGGGTTAGAAGGAATTGACCTAGATGAAACCCCTTATAACTGATACTTTAGAAATAATAAAAACAAACTAGCTCCCAACAGCCAAAGCTGGAATCATGTGAGTGATGTAGTAGTGGGTAAATGGACTATAACCCAAACTATAAAATATCCATGAATCTACACTGATATAAATGACAAATTTCATTTATATAAACAAATGTACAATAGGAGAGAAGAGACTAATATTCATTACAGAAGAATTCCAGATAATAATTGGAACTTCATGACTATTCCCTTTAGGGGGTAAAGTTTCACTGTTCCCCATTTGAGGATGGGCCAGACTTAGCGACTAACTTCAAAAACAGAGTGTGGAAAACCGGTGTAACTTTGCCGAGAGCAGTCTGGCAGACGCTCTCACAACCAAATGGTGAAAAGTTGACATTCACTTTATCATGTGGTTATCTTGCAGTCCATAATATGATGAGATAGAAGAGCATATCACTCCTGTTGTTCTTTCCCAAAACTCATGACTCCAGGCTAATCATAAGGAAAACTTCAGACACACCCAGGTGGGTGAGATGTTCTGCAGGACAGATACTAGGCCGGTGCTTCTCCAGACGGCCAAGGCCATGCATTTCTTGTTATTCAAACAAGAAAATACTAACAAACTCATGGATCAGAGGAGACTTGGGAGACAGAAACCTAAGTACAGTGCAGACCCCTGGATCGGATCCTAGGAAGGAAAGAAAACAAATGGTAAAACTGGCTGTGTCCAAATAAAGTCTAAAACTAACAAAAAGTAGCCAAAGGTGGTGACATGAACTGGGGGCACCTTATCTCAATTTGGGGGAATTTAAGTTGCTTTTATTCAAGACAAATACTTTCACTTGTTTCCCCACTAAATCGGGATCTGTGTCGGGGGTATGTCCCCCGCCTGTCGTTGCTGAATCCCAGGCACTAAGTCAGAGCTTCGTACACATTAGTGTCAGCACCTTTCATGAAATGAGTGTGTTCACTAACAAAGGTACAATGATTGCAAACCTTTTCAGAATTTAGAGAATGCGGTTGTAGCCTTGTGTTGCTTTTGTGTCTGTGTCTCCTTGTGCAGGAGTAGTGGAATTAATTCTTCAACATTCTGTTAATGAGCAGTTCTACCCTGGAGTTTTCTGTATGGAGAAGACATACCCCCCCCAACACATGAACATTAAGAGCCAGAGATTAGACACAGATTTGCTCTTCTCACTGCTAAACCTGTAAAAACTTGGCTGATGAAGCTGGAAGATTTGGGAGTGAGGTTGAAGAACTCAATTTTCTAAACCATGAAATAGAAAATCATCCTAATTTTTGAAAATTAAGCTATGTTAAATTTACAGTTGAATTTCTTGGGCCAAAATAGTTGTGTTGTTAAAATTGAAATTTTGCACAGCCAAAAATCAAGAAGCAAAAATCTCTTCCAAGTTTCATATGCCACAGTTTTTGCTATTAAAAAAAGTGTGCAAATAAGAACATTCAAAGTCTGTATAGAATACCCTTGGGAACACAAATCTCAAAAATACTAACTGAATGCCTACAAATGCTGTCTCTGGTTGTTTGGGGTACATGAGCCACACATGGCATTCAGCAGAACTCTACTTACTGACAGAAATAAGTTATCTGAAACATCCGGCCTCTCCAAATTGCCAGGAGCCAGTTCACTGAAAGGATTCCCAGGGTCAGCCTGGGCTTGAGAAAGGAAAATGATAACCTCTATCTCCCAATCTCCTCATACGTTTTAATGTTCACTGAGTCACCACAAACAAGCAGGTTTTTTCACAGAATGAGCCATAAGTAGCCCTGGAAATTTTCAAGCATTTTTGGAGCAACGGGCACAATCATATATTCAGATAAATTTTATTTGGAACTCAGTATGTTAAACACATACAAG